GCAGCTGCCCGATGTCGTCTGCTCCGACGGTCCAGATCCGTTCTAACTGTCTGCGTCGCTTCGAGTCAACTCTGACTCGTCGCGTTCATTCTCGATACTGCGCGCTTCACTTGGCTGCTGTTAGGAGTGCACAATAGTATTTCACTATTCGTAACACCTTATACATTACATGGTGGATGCACGGATGTGAATGAGGGGATGAGAGGTGGGGTGCGTGATGGCTGCAAGGTTTGGAATGTGGCGACCACAAGTTTTGGAGTGTGATGGCATCAATGTTTGGAATGTGATGATAGCGATGTTTGGAATGTGATATCAGAAATGCTTGGATTGTGATGACAGCGATGATGTAACATAACTAGGGCTCTGTACCAATTACGAAACAACATGTGAAATACAAGTTCTGATACGGATTAATGAATAAGATATCGTAGGTATAAAAATAATATTGCTGTAAGAAAATAATGAAACATTGCAGACATTTGGTATAACAATATATGGTTATGATTTCTTCATTTGCAAAACAGTTTGCAAAGTATACATACATATGTGATGCAATCAATTCGGAACTCCCATTTGACAAGCTTGTATTTACATATTAACGTTAGCACGCAAAACATGTTATGTTAGTATTACATTCAGTTTGGAGGTCTGCGTAAAATTTAGATCCTGAAAATTGATTTTATGATGGAACTGTATGCGTTTGTATGCAGTAAAGTGAAACCGTTTTTAGATTATGACACAGATTTTCAAGTAAAATTGGACGAGAGATTAGTGTATTCGTCGCATCTTCTCGCCTTCTATGGGATGGATTTTATGATAGCATTATTGGGCACGCTTCGTCGTAAGTACTTGAGTGCAGATATTTGTGAATCAAATTTCAATTCAGGCATTCGAGAGAATCTGCAGTGCAGTTTTTTCGGATAGTCATGATCTGGTGCCAGGTTACCCCGAGTTGTCACTGACCGTTGACGAAACGCCCAATCGCCTGGTCAGCTCGGCCACTGAAATCTCCTTCGAGAAAAAGGTACTTCTTCGACATTGGTTCCAGCGTTCTTATCTTCTGACACTCGCAGCACCATCTGGGGTGCAGCGCTTATCCAGGCACTCTAAACCCAATCTATCACTGCCAGTGTTGATCGGGTCGGGGCATACGTGCTTAGAGCTGTCCGCGAGGAAACTACTCGTAATAAATGAGCAACTAAATAATTTGCCACTTGGAAATAACCCTTTATGCGACAGGTGTGCGCACAATTTCAGGGGATTCTCTTCAACACTTGCATTAGATGTTCCTTGGTTTGCAAAGAACAACTAAAATTGCATGTGGCGGGACAAAGGTTGCTGGAACAACTACACACGGTCCTCGCCAATTTCATCAATCCCTCCAATTTCACACCCCTGGGCATTCGTTTCAGGTTTACTCGAAATCAAGGGTCATTCGGACAGCTGAGGTTTGAAGTAGGAAGTTTTCCAGAACCCTCACGAGTCAGCAAGATTTTTTTTTTTTTTTTTTTTGGTGGATATAAGTATACAACGTGCATCCATACATCCGCAGTCGTAACTGTTTCTAGGAGGGCTAAATGATTCGAGAAACATTTCCCCCCTCTTCATCTCTACGGAGGTTGGAAAGCCACCCCACCATCTTCCCAAACTGCCTTGAAACCTGCCTTCCACGTCATCGAAGCTTCGCATTGGTACAATTTGCGCATGACATCCGCCTCGTCAGCTGCCAAATGACTCCAGTCACCTGTCTTTTTCGGAGCCCTCTTGCCAGCCACCCTTTTCCGAGCCCGGCTGTAGATCTTCACGTGTCTTGTGAAGCTCACCGCTATGCGCCGCAGTGCCCTTTTTGGCTGGAACCGACTGCCCCTGAAAACCGCGTTACACCTCTCTAGCCAGACTTGGTGTGCTGTGATCGAGATGAAAGTCGCCTCCGGAAAACCCGTCGACGTGCTGCTTTTCTGGAACATCATGTCTCCGAGGCTCTCCATGCACCTGCCCGGGTTCATACATCGTACTGCCCTCTTCATCACCCCCACCACTGGTTGTATCGTGGGGCAGCTGAAAAGGCAATGGTCCTGTGACTCCACCTCCCCGCAATGAACACAGCGCGCCCTCGTGCCCAGGAACGGAAGTCTCTCCCCCACCTTCAGGTTGTTGCTGTGCACTCTCAGCACCACTTCCCGTGCCCTGGCTGGGGTTGCAAGTGAGTCACGAATCTTGATGGCTCTCCTCCAATCAATCTTTCTCCCCCTCCTTTCCTCCCACTGCAGTTGTTGTTTGGGCTGAGCAGGTGAAGGCCTCATTGCCCTTCGCAGTTGTCTTAGTTCAGCTCGTTCCCCCTTATCGCAGATTGGCGAGTGCAGCAGTCGTGACCTCGGGTCGCCCAGTAAGCCACGCATCCTCCCCTCTATGACCGCCATAGGTGTGGCGATTAAATGGTCGACCGATACCACACTGGCCTACTCCAACGCAGATATGTGACCCTTCTTGTCAACTTCCGCCCGCTTTCCATATAGCACACCGTTAACCGTGTACTCCAGTGTGTAGTAGAAAAACTCCCTCGGCCTGTACGACGGTATTCGCACCAGCCGTGACTCCCTGAAAACCTCCTCTGCAGTCAGCTGAGTGAGTAACATGTCTTTCCAGCTCTGCGGCGTTGCCTCCCACGCTTTCCGGGCCCACTTTCGTTGGTCGATTCCCCCCAGCTCCTGTTCCAGAGTGGCGTCACACTTGACGGTTCTGCTGCCGTCGCGGTTTTTCTTCAGCAAGTCCCCCAAGCGAACACCCTTCAATTAGTGCGAGCCCGCCTGATTTCCGAAGGGCGACCGTCCTCTGAAAAAGATTTTCCGGTTGAATAGCAGTTGCTCCTCCTCCGCATCCCATCTGTGCGCAGGGTCGCCCATGGTCAAGATCTTTGAGTCCCAAAGGGCTTTAACAGCTGCCTTCCATCTTGTCCCTCCTCCCAACCAGTGGTTCAGAATCGAAGGGTGGGCGTAGACCGTCGCCAGGCCGAGCGGGAAACCTGCCGCCCTCTCCCATAACCAGACTCTCACCGGTTCTTGCAGCGGAAGATCCAGTCTATGCGCTGCAATCACTAAGGGAGAATTTCGCGAGGTCGACATGAGCCCGAAGAATGTCATGAGTAGCCTTTAGTCACCGAATGTTTGATCCCTAAATCCAGAAACGGTCAAGGGTGATTTGCTGAAAATATCAGGGGACGTGAAATTGGCGAGGACACGGTGTACATAGAAAGCTATTTAATGATACAATCGTATGTGATTTGATAACCGTCTGATACAGAGAATTTACATGCAAGATGGGCTGATGAGTTTTGTTGATATTATTGTTTCTGTGTATGTTTGATGGAGAGTTCACACTTTCTTTGTACATTTACATGATGGTGACGGATGCAGCAGTACACCTTGTTGTTGCCTGAGATTAAAGAAGAATGGAACTTAGTCGAAATGAGATTTGTGTCGACAATCGAGTGTAGAACCCGTGTGAGACAAATAATGTACTGTGGTGCTGTATTCCGCGAACTTTTGCGACGCAGCGGATATGTCTGTACACCAAGTCCTCGCCAACTTCACTATGGCCAATTTCACCCCCCTGTGTATTCGTTTTAAATTTACCCGAGTTTGAGGGTTGTTTCAAACACTTTGGTTTTAAGGAAAGCAACGACTGGGACTACGCACATGAGTTAGTGGAAAAACAAAAGAAACATGGTCGCAGTGGAAGATTCAGTCCTTGCGTTGCGGTCTCAACGTCAGAAGGGGCAAACATCGAAACGTCACAATGCCTCGGATAGCCTCTAGTTCGGGGGTGTCTTACCCCCTATAGCCAAATAAGGTCAGTTTGGCTTTAAGTAAGAACTGACGGGGCGTGAAATTGGCGAGGACTGTGTGTAACCCCAAGGACGGTGAACAATTCAGATTAGACCACACAAATAACAAAAATCAGGATTTGCTATGATGTTCCTTGGCTTTTCCTTTTCTGACAGCAAAACAACACTGCGTTTCCCACCGCTCGTCCAACACAGCCATCGCACGCGTGCCTCAAGGCGATCCATCCGCTGTCATCGTCTCGTTTTTCTGTCCTTGTCGTATCACGCCGCCCTCTCTCACCGTCTCCGTCCGTCTCCATCGCACAAGCTTCCGTGTGGTTGCTGCTGGTGGGGTATGCCAAGGGACAGGTGGCAAGGGAACAACGTAGCTCCATAGTTCGGGAGCGTGGGATGCGTCTCCGCCTGGGGTAATTCCTAAGCCTCAGTCGCCATGGCGGCCTTAGGATAAGCCGGGAGAAGCAGCGAGTTTCCATCGGGTCGCCTTCTAGATCTTACGGTGCACGCAGAAAGCCGTGGTCTTTCCTCTCTCTGGTACGTCTCGCTCGGAGAATCTACGAGAACCTTTTTTAGGTTACCCGCAGTTTCGCCTGCCTCCACAAGCAAGGGATTCCATAGACCGTGATTGTACAAGGCCTGTCCCCACTGCCGCGATTTCATCATCGTCGTCTCTTTCGCACCCTCGCTCCCCCTTCTCTGCTTCACCCCTATCCCCCACTGTCAATCTCTCTCTATCTATCTCGCTCTCTCCTCCCGATCTCGCTGTTTCCTCACAAACCCCCTTTGTTTCCAATCCTTTTTTTTAAGGCGCGATCTTTCATTAGGGTTCCGCGACAGAAACCGGAGTAGTGACTACCGAGAGCCGCTCCTTTCGAGCCTGATTTCTATAATCGATTCAGTTTCCCGACCTCTCGTTAATTGCAAACGGTCCCCCTCCCCATCCATCCCTGCTGCACATCCCTCCTAGCGGAATCCGCTCTCCTTCTCCCCTTCTCCCCACCTTGCTTCCATTATTCCGTCACCCCTCACCTGCCCTCAGCGATCCCGTCCTTCTTTCTCACCCTTTCTCCTTACCTATTTTCACCCCCGGATCCTTCCCCCCATCCCCCTCCCCCCCACCCTCCCTCATCTCACCCGCCCGCCCCTCTTCACCGCACAGTCGTCATCGCGTTGGGGCCTCTGGTGCATGACTGGGAACGAACGAACTCTAATTCGGCTCGCGCGCTGTTGTTCTGACGTTAGATCCGCGTCCTTAGCATTCGTGACGGATTCCGCCAGCTGCTCCAGCACGCCAGTCGTCAGACAAGCCGGCAATCAACGGCCAAGGATTTGTGACGGATAGATCACAACCGTAGAACGACCGTAGCACAAACTGAAACAGAGAGATAGTTGCGTGAGCTTCTTCCAGTCTGTGTGTGCCAACTGCCACCGTACACGCCTCCCTTACGACTATAAGACACCACTGCAGTTTCCCCTTCTCGTCTTTCTTCCGCCGGTTTTCCCGCTCTCCTCCTCCGCGGTCCCTTGCGCCTCGACCGCGCGGGCGATCTGTGTTTCGCCTGCTTCTCCGACCGCCCCAGCGCGGGCCCCCTCCGCGGTGATTCCCGCCCGCGGACGCGCTGGCCCCCAGTCTCCGCGCGCTGCTGTCGGTAGACGCGGGCGCGGGCGCGAACGCGGGCGCGGGCGCAGTGGCGAACACGGATTCCGCTGGGGCGCACGTTGCGAAGCGGCGGAAGATCAAAGACGGAGGGTGGAGCAAGGGCCCGGGGAGTGATCACTCCGCGGAGTTGGATGCGCGGGGTGGGGTGGGCGATGGTACGGCTGGCGCCCTTGCCGGCGGTACTGCTGCTAGGCCGACAGCGGTGATCGCGGCGCGAGTGGAGAGAGGAGGAGGAGTAGGAGGAGGAGGAGGAAGAAGGGGGGGAGGGGAGGGAGGAGGAGAAGGAGGAGGAGGAGGAGGAAGAAGGGGGGGAGGGGTGGGAGGAGGAGAACGAGGAGGAGGAGGAGGAGAAGGAAGCAGGGAGACGGAGAGGGGGAGTAGGAGGGAAGGCGAGGCTGAGTTGGAAGAAGGGTGGGGAGAAGAGGTGCAGAGGGTTGGGTACTCGGGGAGTGATATTCAAGGAGGAGGGGAAGCAGAGGGGCGGCAGGAAGGGAAGCTTATATTATCCGATCCTGGTGGTGGGGGTGGTGGGGGTGGTGCTGCTGCCGTTGCTGCTACTGCCGCTGCTCCGCAGTTGATGCCTCATTCATCGTCCCATAGCTGTGTGGAAGTGGCGCGGCATGAGCTGGTAAGGAGCGGTGCTGAGCGGTGCGCGCCTGCTGCCGCCGCCGCCGCTGCCGCCGCTGCTGCTGCCGCTACAGAGAGAGGCAGGCATGGTCTGTGGAGCCTGGACAGGTATATTGAAGAAGCCCAAGAAGGCGCTGGGTATGTGGAGCAAGCAGCTGGGGGGGCGAGGTCTGCTCTGGAGAGCATCAGAAGCTGTCGGATGGCGGCACGAGACAGTGGCAGTGGGGGGTGTGAGGGAGGAGGCACAGTAGGGGTAGACGGACGGAGGAGTGGTGAAGCGGCAGTGGTGGGAGAAGAAGGAGGGTTGTTTGACGGGCCTGTGTCCTCCACTGGAGTGGTGAAGGGGGGTTGTTTAACGGCAGAGACGACAGCAGCAGACCTACATGCACCCTCTGCTGCCGCCACGCCACCTGCACTAGACGCACGAGCTCTAGCCACTCTCTCTACGGAGCTAGGCATACCTTCCGTCTCCCCTCATCCCTCTCAACCGGACTCCATCCCCGCTTGTCTCATTCCTGTGGCCTCTGTCTCGCCTGCAGAGCATAAAGCCAGCAAGGCCCTGTCTGCTGCTGCTGCAGCTGTGGTGGCTGCGTCTGCAGCAGCAGAGGCAGCGGCGGGAGAGAGGGGTAAAACGGCAGGAGCAGCAGAGGCGGCAGGGGCGGCAGGGGCGGGAGGGGCAGCAGGTGCGGCAGAGCGCCAGTTTCATGGTCTAGGAGGAGGGCATGACGCGCTGTTTCTGTTGCTGGAGCAAGGGACGGGAGCAACGCAGAAGATGCAGCCGGGTGGTGCTGTCGGGGCCACTGGCACGTTAGGGGCGGGAAGGACCTTAGAAACGCCTCAAATGCCGTTTACTGGGGCGTTACGGGTTGACGACTTGCAAAGGAGTGAGGCAGGGAGGGCGCTTGGGCGTGGGGATGAAGGCGGGGTTGGGGATGCGAGAGGGGAGGGGAGTGCAGCAGCAGGGTATCCTTATCAAAAGTGGCAAGAGCTCCAGCGGGAGCAGAGGGAGCAAAGGGAGGAGAGGGAGCAGAAGGAGCAGAGGGAGGGGGACGGAGCACGTGTGAGGGCTGTACGGCAGTTGACAGAAGGGTCGGAGGTGGGAGGAGAAGCTGTTGCTGCCGTTGCCGCTGCTGCTGGTTTTGGCGGCGGCGGCAGTGGCAGTGGCAGTGGTGCTGGTGGTGGTGGTGGTGGTGGTGGTGGCGGTGGTGGTGGTGGTGACAGAGGCGGTGACGCAGGGCCAGCGAGGGGGCGATATGGAGAGGCAGGTGCGGAGCGCAAGGCGAGTGGGGGCTTGAATGGTGTGTGCGGGGCAAGCCACGTGGTTCCGCCCTGGCCCACTGCTGCCAATGCCCCTGCCTGGCCTCCACCCTCTAATACCCCTCCGTGGCCCCCGGGTTCCGACGCCCCTCCCTGGCCTCCCTCTTCTGACGCTCCTCCCTGGCTTCCTGCCTCCAACGCCCGTCTCTCCTCCAATACGCCTCCCTGGCCTCCCGCTGCCAACGCCCCTGCCTGCCCCCCTGCTGCGAACGCCCCCCTCTCCTCCAATACCGCTCCCTGGCCTTCTGCCGCTGGCGCACCTCCCTCCTTACAAGAGTCTCCCTGGCCTTTCCCTGGTGGTCCTGTGTCCCCATGGCCGCCTGTCTCGCAGGCTCAGCCGCAGCGCGGCAGGCAGGCGGACGGGCAGGAGCAGAGGCAGGGGGAGAGGGAAGGAGAGAGGGAGGAGAGAAAGGAGGAGAAGATTGAAGGGGCGAGGGAGGAGGGGAGGGAGGGGCAGGTGAGCAGGAAAGTGATGGGTGGAGTTGGGAGTGGTGGGGTGCAGGACGCATGGGGGGCGTCTGGGAGAGAGGCGGGTGGTGCAGGGAAGACGGTAGCAGACACTCCCGCATGGATGATGGGAGGCTCTTGGGGGGCGAGCGCAGATGCAGCAGGGCACGGAGCACAGGGGGCGCAGGGGACAGAGGGGAAACAGCGGACACAGGTTTCGCAAGGTGCAGCAGGGAAGACGGCGGCAGGCACTCCCGCATGGATGATGGGAGGTTCTTGGGGGGCCAGCGCAGATGCAGGAGGGCAGGCGGGTCAAGGGGCACAGGGGGCACAGGGGGCACAGGGTGCGACAGGGAAGGCTCCGGCCTGGATGATGGGAGGGTCTTGGGGGGCAAGCGCAGATGTAGGAGGTCAGGCGGAGGGGGGACAGGGTGCAGCAGGGAAGACGGCAGCAAGCACTCCGGCATGGATGATGGGAGGATCCTGGGGGGCGAGCGCAGATGCAGGAGGACAGACAGCACAGGGCGCACAGGGCGCAGCAGGAGCAGCAGGAAAGACGGCAGCAGGCACTCCCGCATGGATGATGGGAGGATCCTGGGGGGCCAGCGCGGATGCAGGAGGACAGGGCGCACAGGCCGCACAGGGGGCACAGGGTGCTGCAGGAGCAGCCGGAGCGGCAGCAGCAGGGGGAGCAGGAGCAGGGGCAGCAGGAGCGATGAGATGGGCTCCTCCCAAGGGCGCTCTGCCTGCGAGTCTTCTCTCTCTGCTGGACGATTTTCCTGGAGTTTCTTCTCCGGGCAAGGCGGTTGGTGAATGGACCTGCAAGGAGGTAGTGGTGAAGAGTGGAGGGGGGACAGCCGAGGGAGGACGGGGGGAATGGGGTGGTGTGGGTGTGGCTGGGAGCGGTAGAGGGGAAGGGGCGTGGGGAGAGGCAGGGGGTGTGAGGCTGGGGAGTGGAAGAGAGGGGGGCGTGAGGGATGAAACTCAGGTGGACGAGAATTTCGCGGCTGGAGTGCTGCTCGGTTCGGAGCGGTTGAAAGGGGTCCGTGATGGGGCCGGGGGAGCCGAGTTGTGTGCTGAGAGGTTGGGAGGGGATGGAAGGGGAGAGGGGGAAGCTAGCAGGAGACAGTTGGAGGGGGAAGGGGAGGGGTTAGAGGGACGGCAGGCGGAACAGGAGGAATCGGATTGGGATTCAGGGTCGGAATGGGATTCAGATTGGGAGTCGGATGGGGGAGGGGAGGAGGAGAGGAGGGAGAGGAGGGAGAAGGGAGGAGAGGCGCAGGGCGGAATGAGTGCATCAGAGGGAGCAGCAAGAGGAGACGGAACGGGTGATGAAGTCACGGCGGCTGACATTGTTGCACGCAACGGAATGGGAAGCAGTGGTAGAGCAAAAGGCCTTGAGGGGCTTCGGGTGAAGTTAGACGCGGTGGAAGGGTTTCAAAGAGGGGGAGGGGGCAGTGGGGGAGGGGGGGACGGGTGGGGAACGGGAGCAGGACAGCGATCGGGACGGGGAGAGAGAGCAGCAGCAGCGGCGGCAGCAGGAGAGGCTGCGGTAGAGGAAGCAGCGGCAGCAGTGGTGGAGGGGGACACGAGCAACGCGCACTTCCACCTGCCGCAGTCGGTGCTGTCGGCGGTGGGGTGTGCGTTGCAGTCTGATATCACCATTGCCGCTGTGCTGCAGAGTGATAACCGCATTGCGGAGACGGTTCTGTGCCACCCTCCGGGGCTTGTCTCCCTGCCTGTGCGCCTCACCAAGACCATCCTCAACATGTCGCACGGCAAGGTATTGTTGGGGATGTTTAGGGGAAGGTATGTTCGTTGATGTTGTTGCAGGGGAAGGTACGTTCGGGGATGGGAGAATAGGAGGGGTGGGGCCACCAAAAGATTTTTCCTGCCTGTGCGCCTCACCAAAACCATTAGTAACATGTAGGACGGACGGCAAGGTATGTATGTTGGGGAAGGGGGAGAGGGGGCTAGGCCCAGGAGGGACTCGGGGAGGAGGACTAAAGGTTGCTCTCTTTCAGATGGCTCTGCTTCCTGCTGTTTTGCAGAGGTCTAGGAGGGGAGGACTGTGTAGATCTGGGGCGATTTGGGGCAGGCAATTACTGTCTCAACTCCTCCATTTCCCCTCTTTCCTCTCCCTTCCTCCCCCCCGCCCTCCACTCGCCCCACCTACCAGCTAATAAACACGGACCGTCTGCTCCTGCCCAGTGTCATCACGGCTGCTCTCGGTGCCCGCCCCCGCCGCTACCTCGCCACGTCCTTCCATGCCGAGGGGTACGCCTGCCACTGCTGCTTTCTCCCCGCCGCGCTGCTTGCTTGCTTGCTTGCACATGCTGCCGTTCTTTCCTGCAATCCGTGTCTCGCATGTCACCTTTGCTTTGCCGCCATCCTTCCCTACAACGCCCCATCTGTCACTCCGTCACCCACTGCGCCCGTCCCACTGCACCCCTCTCCCCGTTTTGCCCGCCGGCCCCTCCACCCTCCCCCCAGCTACGACGGGCTGTGCTACGCTCTCTGGGCGGACCCCTCCCGCGTGCCGAGAGCCGCAGAGGACATCATGTCAGACGCAGTGCAGGCGCTGCCGCTGCTGCTCGCCAACCGAGTGCGCGCCATGTGCTGCGAGCGCATGGGGCGGCGCTTCGACGCCATTCTCGCCCGCATGCCGCAGGCCGTGGTGTTTGTGAACGATGGCATGGGGCCGTGCCTCATCAACCCCGCTGCTGCCGACCTGCTGGACCTCCCAGCGTGAGTTCTGAGATGGCCTGGATTGAGATTGTCTGATGTGCGCTGCGACGGTCTTCTAGGCGAACATGCTGCGTGCTGTTTGGTGGTGTTTGTGGACGATGGCATGGGGCCGTGCCTTATCAACCCTGCTGCTGCGGACCTGCTCGACCTCCCTGGGTGGGTTTTGGTGTTGTTTGGGATTGGTGTGCTTGGGGACAATCTTTTAGGCGCGCATGCCGCAAGCCATGGTGTTTGTGGACGATGGCATGGGGCCGTGTCTTATCAACCCTGTTGCTGCTGATTTACTCGACCTACCCGGGTGAGATTGACTGACGTGCGTTGCCATGATCTTCTAGTCTAGGGAAACATGCTGCATCAACCCTGCGTTGTGTGGTGTTTGTGGACGATGGCATGGGGCCGTGCCTTATCAACCCTGCTGCTGCCGACCTGCTCGACCTCCCCGGGTGAGATTGACTGGTGTGTTTTGAGGTGGTTGTGGACGATGAGCAGATGAGCTCTACATCGGATGCAGCACCCCCCAAAATTCTCGTGTTTTGAGATGTCTCGGTATTCATCCCCATCCCCATCCCTATCCCCCACAACCATAACCACAACCATCCCCATCACCATCCCCATCCCCATCCCCACTGTCTTTAATCACCTGCCGCTGGTCTGTACCTGTCAGGCCGGGGAAGTTGAGCGCCGTGAAGGTCGCAGCAGCTTTCAAGGCTCTTGTGCAACGCACCTCCACGCCCACTGAAATATTCCGGTACAGTTCATGCATTTCCCTGCACGTGCCCATGCCCATGCCCATGCCCATGCCTGCAGTTCCATTTGTTACTCCCATCGGCCCATTCCCCATCTCGTATCTTTCTTTCCACCCGCCACTTCTCCTGCCTTCCTTCCCATCCCATTCTCCCCACCCTCTCCCCCTCCCCCACCTCATCATACCCACCACCTGCCTGTACACTGTATCCAAAGCCCCTTATATAGTCCTCTCCCTCCCCTCCTCCCCTCCCTCCCGCCCACTACAGCTGGCTGCGCACGGTATCAGCCTTCCTGCACGACAGCATGGAGGCGGTGTGGCACGTGCAGGAGCCGTGGTGTGTGGTGTGTGGTGTGTGGTGTGTGGTGCCTCCTGCCTGATCCCATTCCCACGCTCACCTCCCCTGCCTCGTCTCCCTCCTCCCCCTCCCCCCCTCTGCATGCCCCTCCTCTCCCCCGCTGGCAGCTGGCTGCGCACGGTATCAGCCTTCCCGCACGACAGCGTGGAGGCGGTGTGGCACGTGCAGGAGCCGTGGTGCGTGGTGCGCGTGCAGTCGTACCCCGTGAGCAGCGAGGCCACGCACGGGCGCGTGTGGCTCTTTGACGACGTCACCGCGGAGCATGAGGCGAGAGTGGCGGTGGAGCAGGCGGACAAGGCCAAGGCGCAGTTCCTCGCCATGATGAGCCACGAGCTGAGGACGCCCATGACTGGTGTGTTGAGAGGGTTGTTTTTAGAATTTTAACAAACATGCATGACTGGTGAGCCAGTGGGAGGTGTGGGGGAGGAGAAAAGGGAGGGAGGGACAGGAAAGCCGTGCTGCGCATGATGCCTCTCACTCCTCTCACTTCCTCTCCTCTCCCCCTTTGTTCACCAATGCCGATGCCCATGCGTGCAGGCGTGCTGGGCATGCTAGACCTGCTGCGGCTAACGCCGCTGACAGGGGAGCAGAACGGGCTGGTGCGCGTGATGCAGGGGTCAGCGGAGGGGCTCATGCAGGTGCTGAACGAGATCCTGGACTTCTCAAAGATCGAATCTGGCAACTTCTCCCTTGAAGAGGCCGACTTTTCCGTCTCCGAGCTTCTTGACCAGGTATGGTGTTTGAGAGGTCTCAAAAGATGTCTCAGAAAGGGGTCAGCGGAAGATCTCTCATGCAGGTGCTCAACGAAATCCTGGACTTCTCTTCTCCAAGATCGAATCCGGCAACTTTTCCCTTGAAGAGGCCGACTTCTCCGTCTCTGAGCTCCTCGATCAGGTATGACTTTTGAGACGCCTCTCCTCCTCTTTGGATCTGTGTTGCTCTGCTGCCTCCCGCCTCTCTGCTTCTCCCTTGAGGAGGCTGACTTCTCCGTCTCCAAGCTTCTCGACCAGGCATGCATCGTCACCTCTCTGCCGCTCTGCCCCTCTGCCTCTTTGCCTCTCTGCCGCTCTGCCCCTCTGCCTCTTTGCCTCTCTGCCGCTCTGCCTCTCTGCCCCTCTCTAACCCCACAACCCACCAGGTGGCAGCGCCGTTCTGAGGGTGAGTGGAGGAGCGCCATCTATCGCTCACCGTGCCTCCCTGTCGCTCTGCCTCTCTACCTCTCTATCTCTCTGCCACTGCCTTGACCTGACTATTCACGTGCATGCATCCTCATCCCCCTGGCCCACACTACCCTCCCCACCCACCAGGTGGCAGCGCTGTTCCGAGGCCGAGTGGAGGAGCGCCATTTATCCCTCACCGTGCACAAGCCGCATGTCAAGGAGCAGGCTGTCAGGGGCGACCCCAACCGCCTGCGACAGGTGGGTGCTTCCTTTCTCCTGCCTCGCTCTCGCTCTCTGTCTTTTTGCAGACTTGTTTGCATGGGTGGTTTCAGTCGCGTAAACCGAGTTGGTATTTTGAGGAGCATAAAGAGGCTGGTTTTGTCTGTCTCTCTGCATGGATGTACGCGTGGGCGTGGGTGGTCAATCGTGAAAACCGGGCTTTCGGCTGTGCCTGTTATGTTAGTGGAGAGAGAGCCGAGTTTTGCATGGAAGGATGGACTCTTACACATGTGGTGTGGTGTTTTCGAATCTCTGTGATTTCTTACGAATGTGTTGTGGTTTCTGTTTCAGGTGCTCACGAATCTGGTGAGCAACGCCATCAAGTTCACAGAGCAGGGAGGTGTGACCATCACGTGGAGGCGAACGCTGCTGCCCCGCTCCGCCTCCTCCCTCAGCCTCGCCTCCCCTGGTTCTGCCCTCGCCCACACAGACCCCACAGGGGCTGCCGCTGCTGCTGGTGGTGCTGGTGCTCTTACAGGCGCAGTGGCAGGAGGAGCAGAGGTATCAGGTGCAGGTGTAGGGGAAGGAGGGGGAGGGGCAGGAGCAGGGGCAGAGACGGGAGGCATGGGGGGCATGGGGGGAATGGGTGGCATGGGCATGGGCATGGGGCGGAATCAGCAGCAGCGCAAGGAGCAGCAAGGGACGAGCATGGCGAGGAGTATCAGTGGGCGAGACAGGCACCGCCCCTCGGGGAAGAGCATGGGTATTGGTGTGGGCGTGGGCGGGGTGCAACCAGGGGGGGCGTTTGCTGCCGTTGCTGCCGCTGCTGCAGCGGCTGCTGCACAGGCAGAGGCTGAGACTGCTGCTGCTGCAGCTGCTGCAGCAGGGGGCGCAATTGACGGAGGAGCAGGAGGGGTGGGAGGAGTGGGGGGAGCAGGAGGAGCGGTAGGAGCAACAGCAGGAGGAGTGGAGCTGGGGCGATTAGAGGCAGTGAGCGAGGGGAGGGAACGGATTGCAGAGAAAAGACATGGGGCAAGACATGTAGATCTATCTCATACCCCACCAGTCTCTGCTGCTGCTGCTGCTGCTGCTGCTGCTGCTGCTGCTGCTGCTGCTGCTGCTGCTGCTGCTGCTGCTGCTGCTGCTGCTGCTGCTGCTGCTGCTGCTGCTGCTGCTGCTGCTGCTGCTGCTGCTGCTGCTGCTGCTGCTGCTGCTGCTGCTGCTGCTGCTGCTGCTGCTGCTGCTGCTGCTGCTGCTGCTGCTGCTGCTGCTGCTGCTGCTGCTGCTACTGCTGCTGCTGCTCCAGCTCCTGCTGCTCCTGCTTCTGTGCTGCCTGCGATTGCAGAAGGGAGAGCAGCAGCAGCAGATCGAAGCCTTGAGAGCAGAGCAATGGTGGCGCCTGCGGCAGGCACAAGAGCAGGTGAAGACGTGAGCACCAGCGGTCATCGACTGGGTATGGCGGGGAACCTTGCTTCAGGAGCCACGGAGGCAGCAGGAAGAACAGCTCTAGGAGCAGCTTCACCTGCTGCTGCTGCTGCTGCTGCTGCTGCTGCTGCCGCTGATGCTGATGGTGGCGGTGGCGCTGCCACTGCTGCTGCTGCTATCCCCGCCCATGCCGTTTCTCCCACTGATACTGCCGCAGGACCTGTACCAACGGACAGGTCTCCCGCTTCCTCCTCACGACCCACCTCCCCTTTGTTTGTGGACGATTTAACTCGAGAGAGAGGCCTGAGGATCAACATATCGAGGCAACCGATACAGAAACCAGCGTCTGCTGGGAGCACTCCCGGGCGCCACTCCTCCCCGTTCGCCAACCCCGCTTCCTCCGCCTTTCCTTCCACTAAGTCGCCGCTCACCTCCTTCTCACTCACCCCCCCTCACGGTTTCAGACCTGGCTTCCCTGCCTCTCGCTCCCCTGAAACGCCTCCGTCTCCCACGAACATGTTCTCTGCTAGAAGGCGGTTTCCATCGCACTCGTCGTTGCCTGCTAGGTCTCCTTGCTCCTCGCCTTTCACCCTCACCTCGCCTCCTCATGTGGAGACTGTGAGGGAGCAAGAGGAGCGGGACCAAGAGGAGTGGGAGCAAGAGGAGAGGGAGCAAGAGGGCCAGGAGCAAAAGGATCGGGAGCAAGAGGGGCAGGCGCAAGCCGGGGGGGAGCAGAGGAATGAGGAGGTGGGGCTGAGTGCGTGGTTGAGAGCAGGTAGGGCGGATGAAGGGCATGGTGCGGAGGAGGTTTGTTCTCAGGATGGCAGCATGGGGGGTGGAGGGAATGGAGCGAGGAGAGGGAGAAGCCGCACAAAGGTACAGTTTGAGGAGGTAAATGAGGAGGAAGTGGGGAGAGGAGATAGGTGTGAGAAGGGTCGTGTGGGCGAGGAAGTGCGGACGAGTGAAGGAGAGAGCGAGGGGGGGGAGGAAGAGGACGAAGAAGAAGAGGGTGAGGAAGGGGAGGAAGTAGAGGGAGAGGAGGAAGAAGAGGAGGAGGAAGGCAGCATTAGCCGAGAGGAGCGAGAGCGGGAGGGCGAGGGCTCGGGAGAGGAAGAAGAAGAGGATGAGGAGGAAGAGGAGGAAAAGGAGAAGGACTGTCGGCCGCGGCTGTGGTACGAAGTGAGAGTGAAGGACACAGGCATCGGGCTCTCCCCAGAGCAGCAGGGGCGGCTCTTCAAGTCGTTCTCACAGGCTGATACCTCCACCACACGCAAGTTTGGAGGCACGGGCCTCGGCCTGGCGATTTGCAAGGGGCTTGTGAACGCCATGGGTGGGGAGATCTGGATCGAGAGCGAGGTGGGGAAGGGCGCGGCGTTTGTGTTCACTGTGCCGCTGCTGGCGCCGCAGCGGCCGGAGAGGTTTAGGGTTGAGGAAGGGGGGGGGATGGGGACGGTGGAGGGGGAGGGAAGGGGGGGGAGCGCGCTGCGGTCGCAGGTGGGCGGTGCGGGAGGGAGTGGGCTGCATGTGCTGGTGGCTGAAGACAATGTCGTGAACCAGATGCTGATCAAGAAGATGCTGCGGCACTACGGGCATCAGGTGCGTGCCGGCAGAAGTGCGTGTAGGTAGTGGTAGGGTGTGGTAGGGTGTGCAGGCAACAAGGTGTGAGACTCTTTTTGTGGATGCTACATTGGCTTGTGTGGGGGCTTGGGTGATTTTGAGGGGGATTGTGAGGTTGAGTTGAGGCGGCTTAGGATCATGGCTGGCTGGCTGTCTGCATGTGTGTGGTGGAGTGGATTCTGACTGAAGAGGATGTTGAGAGGTGGTAGACACTACAGGCATGCTTTGACTTGAGGATTAGTGGCCTCGTATTTTGAAGGCACTCCTCGTCTCACTCTCCTCCTGCTCCCGATCCGCCCTTCCCTTCCCTTCCCCACCATTCCTCGTGCAGGTTGACGTGGTGGCGAATGGAAAGCTAGCAGTGGAGGCTCTTCAATGAATGAACGGGCCAGGGGCAGGGGCAGGAGGCGAAGGGGGGGCAACTGAGAGAGCAGGCACAACAGGAGAGGGACGGGGACAGGGAGGGCAAGGAGGACCCTTGGCCCCAACTGCCGCTCCGCCTCGCTCTCTAGTCTCTGCTTCCTTTGAAGCCACTGAACCCCCAGCCTTTGCTGCTACCGATGCAGCAGCAGCAGCAGCGGCAGAAGCAGCAGGAGCAGCAGCAGGGGGAGGGGGTGCCGCCGGGTCGGTCGGTGGATATGATATGATTCTCATGGATCTCCAAATGCCTGTTATGGATGGGCTCATGGCTACTCGCACCATCCGTGAGCTACCTGCTCCTCTCTGCCGCATACCCATTTATGCACTCACAGCTGATGTACTCACACAGGCTTCAGGGACTTTGGAAGAAATGGGGCTGGATGGGTATTTGACCAAGCCTATTGACTGGGGCAGCCTTTCTAAGGTGATTCAGCAGGTGGGGCTGGCGAAGCTACAACCAGACATCGCTGCTGCTGCTGCTGCACTGATGGAACGCGAGGAGCAGGAAGAGCAGGAGGCAGCGGGAAGGGATTGAAGAGTCGGTTTGAGAAATCTCAGCGTATGGTTATTGCCGCAAGGGAGGAGCAGAAGGCTCATTCTTGAGATTGACATGATTGTAGGCAGGGTAGGGCAGGGTATAGCCACCATTGATTGGCTAGCTTTGAGTGGCATGTCCCTTATTTCTCGTGTGCTTCGCTTCCTTCTTGTAAATGCACTTTCCTTATTCTTGGTCTGCTCGAGTTTGTGCCTGGCTTCAGTTCAGCAGCTGTCCCGGTTTTGAAAGCACTTGGGCAACCCGTTTCTGCATGTGACATTACCGTACCACTCATGTGCCATCACATTGTTCAGCTGCCAGCAGTGTCCTGTAGGGTGGTACTTTCCAACTCGACGCGCCGACACGAAAGTTAAAGATGCTTGAAAGGGAGTGAAACCGACGGCTCATGATTGGGAAATACTGAAGAACGCTGACAAGACTCCGTCCTCCGCCCATCTCCATGAGTTTCGAAAGCGGAATTCTCTTTTCAGAGCAGGCTTTTAGTCTTGAAAATGTTGCAGCTAGAATCCATGAAGGAAGAGTTTGCCGGGAGTGAAAAGCACCATCTTCTAAGCGAGTTCATGACAAGTCGAAGAGACGAGCAGCTTGTGTCACTAAAAATAACGACCAGCTGTCAGCTCCGCTGTAATTCTAAACCCTTTATCCCTCCTTACAGTCACACCTTCCATATCAGATGGATGGATGTCCGAGACGAGATATCTTCCAGTTTCCCTGAATGATCCAGGTGCGAACAGCTTTTCGCTCATGATGGGAAACTCTCTCGCTAAAACGGATCTGAAGAATTCAGACCAGTGAGTGGAAACAAAGTCAATCATTTCTGTTTGCCATGATTGGCAGGAGGTACCGCATTTCGCCCCTCTTCGTCTCCTCTACACCACACGGTAGCGCATTCACACAAGATTCAACCAGCTAAAACCCATTAAGTAGCTGAACCTAGTCTTAGCTCAAGGTGGTCTTTTGAGCATTGAGCATACATTCAGCATTGCTGTTCCCTAGATCTCTTGCATGTAGTCAGCGACATGAGTAAAACCATGGCAGCGTGTCATGCATTCAGCAAATGCATGTCCTTTGTGTCAACTCATTGTCTATCTGTCAGCTCAATCCTGCTGCCATTCTTAAACTCAATGCTTCAACTCCGACCTTGAAATCCTTGTCGCGAAATCAACGCATCTGTTGCACGCATTATGCCATTTTTAGGGAATGAGCAGCATCATGTAACAGAGTTTCTCATCTTTGAAAAGCGTACATACCTCTGGCGCTTCCCTCATTTCGCATTATGAGTATGCCTTCTGTTTTCTGTCGTCTCATATTACGAACTCAGATTCGCCATTTCTGACGCTGCAAGAGCGCTTTGTCACCGTCAGATTGTCAACTGAACAAGACACTTTGTTGGAAATCGACGAGAGTGTCAAGGTGAGGGATGAACATGTTGTAAGTAAAGTCTATTTCCTGCTCAGTATCATACTTCGGGTCTTTTTTTTTTTTTTTTTTTTTTTTTTTCAATATATTGGCAAAAATGACCTAATTGCTTCCTCTTTTGTTCTATTCAGGACTCGAATCTCAGCAATAGATCACCATGAAGCGGACAACAGGTTGCTCTCGGCTTCTATCGCTTCCAGACGAGATCCTCAGAGCCATATTTCAGTGTCTTTCAATGTCGGATTGGCCCAATATCGCTCTCACCTGCTCACGCTTTCACAACGCGATGAAACAAGCACAGCTTACACTCGATGAGATTGCCTTCCCCTTGGCGGTCATACCACGATTGACTCGCTTGTCCAAAGCCAATTACACCTGTATTTCATGTCTGCGCTTCTACGGAGGATCCACCACTTCAGAAGAGACTTCACGACTTTTGATTGCCATTGGCTCAACTTGTCCTGCATTGGAGAGTTTATTGATCTTTGGCGACTTCGAAGAGAGTGCTTGGAGGAATTTGGCTGAAAGATGCAGGTGAGTACAAGCTTGGATCTCCAGTTGCTTCACCGTTTTCATCCTAGCTGTGTCTTAAATTCATCGTGTTCACCGTTTTACTTTCTGCTGGCTAATCTTTTTTTTTTTTCTCAGGCTCCTGTCCATGTTGGAGATTCATTTCTCATCGCCACCTGTCGTTTACCCTCCATTTGACATATTCAGCTCACTGAAATCCCTCTCGCTTAACCTTCACAAGCCTGCCTCACACGTTCCCTCCCTCGGTCTCTGCGCCTCTTTGACTTCCCTCACCCTCTCGAGTTCCAACGATCTCCAACTCTCCAAACTTGCTTCCTCCTCCTCCCCTCTTCCCCCCTTACGGTCTCTCACTCTCCATTTTTCACTTCTCACACGCTCTTTATCATCTCTCGCGTCCTTTCCCAACCTTGCATCACTTTCCTTCCACTCGTGTATAGGGCTGGATGTCGGTGATCTGCAAGCTCTTGCCTGCTCTCTTCACAGCCTCACACACTTGACACTAGACAGCTGCCCTTTGGTCTCAAGTTCAGGTGTAGCAGCAATTGCTGAGAGCAACCCAAAGCTCACGTCTCTCGTTTTGCAACGAGTTTCACATCTTCTACTCAGTCCAGCGCGGTTCAAGGGTTTTCTTGCGTGCTGTCCCCAGCTTTCTTCGCTTAGCCTTCCTAGTAGACTTGTAATTCATCCCAGTTTGCTTGCAGACTGCAGCAGTCTTCAGAGTCTTTCCATCAAAGAAGGAAGCGGGTCGCTAGAGGGCTTGGCTTTGATGCTGCTGCGGGTGGAGAAGGCAAGCACAGATGGAGGGAACAGCTTGAAGCAGGAGGCGGCTGGAAATGGGGAAGGTGTAAGGCAGGGGGGAGGGAGATGCGGCAAGGAGGTCAATAAGGCATTGCTATGGGGACGAAGAGGCTATCTGGTTCGTGCAGCTGCCAATGCTGCTCGACAAAACACGGAATCGGCTTTGAGGCAGTGGCGTGACTTGCATGAACACTGTACGTGTAGGGATGGATCGGTGGAATGGGAGCTGTCGAGAGATGTACGCATGTTTGAGGAGAGAGGCCAAGCAGGTTCGCCTTTTAGAATTGAGGTTTCACTAGCTCATTTCAAGCTGAAGATCGTTGGTTGTGGTCTCCTAAGGCAGGTGCATGACGAAGCCGCAGCTGCCTTGAAGGGCGAGGAGGCTTTAAAGAGACTTCTCTTGGCTGCTGACGACTCATCAGCTTTTATTCTGAGGCCTGGTGAGGCAGCAAGAGCAGTGGAATCAGCAGAACCAGCAGCAGTACCAGCAGCAGCAGCAGCTCCAGAATCGACGCAAGTATTAGCATCAGAACAGGAGCAGTTTGAGAGTAACCTCAACGCGCTGAGAGCAATGTCCAGCCAGGTTAGGGCAGTAGATCAGACTCTTCGCGATCCTGCTCCAGACCTGGTTTCGAGGCCCACATCACCTGAGCTGCATCTGTCCGGCAGTCTGACGGTGGAAGCACATGGCATACAAAGCCCAGGTGAAGTTGTAACAGTCAATTTCTCGGGCCCTCTGCTTCGATCCTTGTCCGTGACTGCTTTCCGTTTTTTCCGCTCAACAGAAGTAGCCTGGCTGCAGGAAGCCTTTCACCAGCAGCCTAACTCACCCTTCCCTGATGCCTCCTCTTCGTCCGCCTTCAACTCGTTCGAGCCGCATGACTCATTTCGGTCTTTGCTATATACTACTGCATTTGAAGGACTTCAAAGCCTCTCTCTCATATGCTGCTTTGGTCTTTCAGAAGATGACCTCGCTGTTTTACTGAATTCATTCGGAGGCTTACTTCATCTGACGATAGACAAGACCAGCCACTTCACTGACAGGGTGATAAAAGCGACCAGACTGTTGCTTCTTTCGTCCTTGAGCATGCTCTCATGTGAGGGAATCTCTGCTGATGGTGTTGACGAGCTTCTGATAGGTTTTCCAAGGTTGCTGCGGGTAAAGGTGGAACTATGGAAGGTAACTGAGAGGATGGGTAGGGTGCTGAAGCGTGCGGGTGTGATTGTGATGGGTAGTTGATACAGTTGGCAGTGTACCTTGTACGAGGTATACATGTCTGAATCATGCTGCTAGAGATTAGGATTCTTGGTATTTTGACCGTCTTTTGTCTTTGACAGACAACATCACCAAGCTGGATACTGCTGGATGCTGACTGGTTATGCTAGTTGACCTGTGTATTTCAGGGTTTTTTTTTTTTTCCTGACCATTATATGTACTGGTACCTTATTAACACTGCTGTTTCTCCTGCATAGTTCATTACTCGCACTCTTGACATGCACTAAGAGATGAAAGTTTAAAATACCGTAGTGAAATATACTCCTTGAGGTTACAACGAGTGTGGAGCCCCGGGCAAAGCATGGAAATAGGGATACTACACAGAGTGGAGAGACAAGGCAGTTGATGCACCTCTCCCACCAGAGTTTGGACCACGTCTCTGCTACTTGCTGCAGCAGCTAAACGTTCCCCCATGGTGCGTTGTCAATCCTGGTTGAAATGGACGGCAGGGAGGGATTGCACCTGAAGGCGGGTGAGTGGATGGGCAGAGGGGAGAGAGGAAGAACCGGATATATGTGATGTGAACAAAGGGTAATACAAAGAGTGTGAAAAGGCCAGACATTTCCCCCGCCTACCATGTTATTTTTTAATTGTACGGGGCAGTTGACGGGGAAACAGCCAGCTAGCAGGTGACATACGGAACCTCAACAGGGGCCATTCCCACTGTGACACCAGCTGACACACCTCAACTGTATGCACGTAAGACAATGCATGCACTGCTCCACTCACCTCAATGCGTGCATGGTTGTTCAAAGCTCCATCCGCCAGGGCCAGCAGGCACATCTGAGCATGCACCATGTTGCCTGCCTTGTGAGGTGCATCAAAGGCACCATGAACCACACGCTCCTCACAGGCACACCTCACTCCACTCACCTCACTCCACTCACCTCACCCCACTCACCTCACTCCACTCACCTCACCCCACTCACCTCACTCCACTCACCTCACCCCACTCACCTCACTCCACTCACCTCACCCCACTCACCTCACTCCACTCACCTCACCCCACTCACCTCACTCCACTCACCTCACCCCACTCACCTCACTCCACTCACCTCACCCCACTCACCTCACTCCACTCACCTCACTCCACTTACCTCACCCCACTCACCTCACCCCACTCACCTCACCCCACTCACCTCACCCCACTCACCTCACCCCACTCACCTCACCCCACTCACCTCACCCCACTCACCTCACCCCACTCACCTCACCCCACTCACCTCACCCCACTCACCTCACCCCACTCACCTCACCCCACTCACCTCACCCCACTCACCTCACCCCACTCACCTCACCCCACTCACCTCACTCCACTCACCTCACCCCACTCACCTCACCCCACTCACCTCACCCCACTCACCTCACCCCACTCACCTCACCCCACTCACCTCACCCCACTCACCTCAATGCGTGTGCAGTTTGAATGGCCCCATCCGCCAGAACCAGCAGGCACATCTGAGCATGCACCATGTTGCCCCCCCCTCACCATCACAGCCACCATCGGCTCTGCCCACCCAATCAGCCCCCACCCGCACATTACAAGGGAGAAGAGGAGAAATGGTAAATGCCAATACAAGACATGGGTGCACACAGGAAGGCATGAGAACATGGTGGTAAGTGCATCACTTCGTGACTGATGAAAAAAGCACCACCAGCATGCTTTTTTTTCGGCACCAACCAACAGCCCTACAGAAGTCTAGAGGATTACCCTGACTCTCATTTCTTGACTTCATTGTTAAAGTATCGCTGCATGTGCTCCCCTGCTCGCATCAACAACAGCGCCACATCTCAACACGTCAGCCGAGCTTAAGACAGAGTCTCCCTACACACCCTGATGACGTTCCGTGATTCGCGGAGCTCGACACTCCGACACGGAGGTTAGTTGATGCTTAAAGAAACGCATTTGCAGATGGACGGTTGACAGAAGGGAGGAGGGAGTGAAATCGACGGTCCAGAATCGGCCAAAACTGCCAAATGCTGACAAGACAGCGTCGTCCGCCCATCGCCATAATGGAACGGCATTTGCATTTCCTCTCTCTCCTCTCTCTCCTCTCTCTCCTCTCGCGCCTCTCTCTCCTCTCTCTCCTCTCCCTCCTCCCTATCCTTGCCCGCACCTCATCACTGCCCGCACGGCCCGAGCCAAGCGCTGCACTCGCACGGCGCCCCCAGCAGCATCCCATGGCGATGCACACCCCACCACGCGCCCCAGCTCAGCGCCCACCGCTGCTGCCACTGCACCCACATGCACTGGCGGTGGTCGTGGTGCTGGCACTGCTGGCACCGCCGCCGCCGCCGCCGCCGCCGCTGCTGCTGCTGCTGCGGGCTGCATTGGTTGCTCATGCGCTGGTCTTGTGAGGGGCTTGAGTGGTAAGGGTGGTGTGAGTGGTGAGGGAGGTGAGGGTGGTGCAAGTGGCATGGGTGGTGCGTCCGAGTGGCGTGCGAGTGGCATGGGTGGTACATGTAGGCACGGGAGGGCAGTGACGAGAACACACATGTGCATGGCGGCATGCAATCATCTCAGACACGCTCTCCAGCATGCCCCATGCTGCCCTCTCGCTCTCTTACGCGTGATCACTCCTCCCCTCACCCCCCTCCGCCCTCTCCCGTGGAAACCGCACCAACCGCCCACCAAATACCCCTCCCCTCCTCGCTCCTCCTGCTCCCTCTCCTAAACCAGCAGCACCTGCCATCCCCAACCCCAACCCACGCGCATCCCACGCGCATCTTCTCTCCCTGCCACCTTCTATTCGCCCTCCCCCCGCTTGCCTCTCCGCATCCCTCGTTCTGCGGGCGACCTCTCTGCGCCCCCCTCCGCCATCTTACCCGCTCTGCCTTCCACTCTGCCTGCACCCGCTCCGCTCGCCCCCGCCCCCTCTCTTCCGCGCCCCCCCTGGGCTTCCGACAGCTGCGCGCTCAATTCCCCTCCGCGCTTTCTTCCACGCACTCCCCAGTATTCCGCCATTCGCCGCGAGTTCACTCTCCCGCTCCGCCACTTGCCGCCGTCCCCATCACCCGCCAACTGCGCCTTTCCCCGCCGGCGCGCACTGCTATCCGGCCGGTCCAGATCACTCTCGGACAGTCTCCTGCCTTCAACCCCAGCCACTCCGCCTCTCGTTTGCGCACGCGCCGCGACCAGCGCTCCTCATCCAGTGGCCGAGGCGGAGGCGGAGGCACAGGCGAGGCGGTGGGGGTGCAGGGCGGCAGCGCTGCACTGTGACGTGCGCAACGAGGGCGCCCTGCAGCTGTACCTGCAGCACGGCTACCGCCTTGTGCGGCCCCCTCTGGGTGCTGTGTGGCCCCAACCCATGGCCTCTGAAGGGCAGGACCAGCAGCTGCTGCTCAAGCGACTGGGATAGAGGGAGAGAGGGGTGTGGCATTAAGGGGATGGGGAGAGTCGGGTGTGGTTTGTGGGGTTTAGGTGGAGTTATTGAGGAATGGGTTGGAGATGGTTTAGGTTTGAGGATTGCGGGGATGAAAGAGGGGTGGATGGATGGCATGCAAATCGAGAAGAGCAGTTTGGCTTGGCTGTGGGGGCGTACCTGATATGAAGGCGGCATACATGGAATGAAGGCGCAGAGGGAGGGCATACCTAAAAAGAAGTCGCAGAGGGGAGGGCGTACCTGATATGAAGGCGCAGAGGGGAGTGGTGGGTGCAAGTGGTGCGAGTGGTGCTGAAACATGGCTGAGTCAAACGGATGAAGGCAGCGGTGCGTGGTCCGTGAGATGCACCATTCAACCACCTATGCTACCACACCATTCAACCTTTACAATCACAATCCACTCAATCCCACACCCCTCGCTCCCAAGTCCCTCACTCGTTCGCCCCTGACTCACGCTCTGGTCCCACGCCTTGCCTTGCCGGTCTTCTCATTGGGCCACAGGCGCACATTCGGGATCTTGCGACACCCGCGCGCCCGCCACATGCGTACGTGCGTGCGTGCGTGCGTGTGGGTGGGTGTGTGTGTGTGTGTGTGTGTGTGTGTGTGTGTGTGTGTGTGTGTGTGTGTGTGTGTGTGTGTGCGTGTGTGGTAGCGGGAGAGCATAAGAGCATAAGCGCATGGCCAGGCATGGTTGGGGCGAGAGGGACGAGTGGGAGAGGCTATCATTTGCACAGGCACCGACCCCACATGCACGCCCACACATGCACTGGCATGCCCGCATGAGAATCTCAACTCATCACTGCCACCTGCGAAACAAACGCCTCCCATTACCGCCTCCCACACCGCCTCACAGCCCACACATCATCGCCCCCTTCCCCCCATCGCCCCTTTCCCTTCACCGCCCACACCACCCTCACATGTAGTGGTAGTCGTGCTCGCCGTCCCCCGCCATCACCCCCACCTGCACGCGCGCAGCCCCGCGCCGATCTCCGCCATCACGCGCCCCCCCACCTGCGCGCGCAGCACAATGTTCCAGTCACCAGAAACATGCTGCGTTCTAATCTGTCACTCGCCTCGCATAAAACGCTTCTATGGCTGCCAGCACGCACAGCCCCGCGCCGATCTCCGCCCCCACCTGCGCGCCCCCCGCATGCCGCATATGGGAGGCACCTATCCCCCACCCATCCCCACGCCTCCGCCCATGCCCCCTCCCATGCCATCCCCATGGCAATCCCACCACTGGAGGGGCGGGTCCCATCGCTCCCGGCACTCCCATTGCTCCCCCCAGCTCTCCCAGCGACCCCAGTGAACCCCTTCCCTGCGCTCCAAGCGCTCCCAGCGACCCCAGTGATCGCCGCACAGGATTTCTGCCGCCGCAGCGAGCGCGCGCGCAGCAGCCCCGCAGCCCTGTCGCGCGCGCGCGGATCCGCGCGCCCGGCGACGTGCGCGGCGGCGAACATCTGCGAATCCTCGGCGAGCCAGACGGATCGCAGGAAGTCGTCCATGGGCCTGGATGCGACGGCGTGCGACGGGCCTGCGAACGTCGCCTGGAACTCGTCGAGCGTGAGCGGATGGATGGACGCCTGCCGCGCCAGCAGCTCCGGGAACGCCATGGCGCGCGGGCGGAGGGACGGAGGGCGGAGGTCGGAGAAGGGGGCGGAAAATTGCAGAGGCGGAGAGGAGGAGAGGCGGGGAGGCGGAAAGGCGGAGAGGCGGAGGCGGGAAAGCGGACTGCCCCCGGAGAAAGAATTATGTACAAATTGCGCGTCGATTTCAAGAGACCGTGACGAGCGAACGATCCGCGATGAATTGGTGGCGCGAGAGAGGAGTTGGTATGTACAAGGGTAAGGCGGCTAGAGTTAGGCTGCACTATCACAGAACGGTTCGGCCTCTCACGCGCCTATCACAGCCCGTCCTCAACGGCCCCTCCCATTCCCCTCCCCTCGTCGCATCTTCGCGAGGGCGAGTGGAGCGGGGTGATCGCAGGGACGAGGCACGCGCACAAACACGCCAAGGGCACGAGCATGCTACGGCACGGCCTGAAGGAGAAAACATATGCGAATTCAAGGAGAGAATAGAAGGAGGTGCGGCGGACGGATTTCCGAAGCGGACCACGAATTCTAAACTGGTTCCAGACGCGACAGTTATGCGCGTGGAGAGACGCGACTCGGGGTAGGGGGAGAAATAGTAGCGGAATGAGGAGCAAGCAGTTACGAACAAGTGATTTGCCTACTCTACAACCCGCTAAAGGCGGCCTCGTATTAGGTACAGAAAGGTATGGAACCTTTCTCACTGTATTCTCAACTCATTAGCGTTCCCTCCAAATTTGTTGCTGACGCGACTCACGGCTGATTGGTTCGCTACTCCCAGGTCAGCAGTGTCAGCAGCCCATTGCCCGTTAGCTGGCGAGGGAACTGCTCTGCGTCCGTTACAAACAGGGTTCCATTTCACAACAACTAGATACACTTAGTACATTACGTATACCTCTAGAGTCCAATCCCCCGATCCTTGAGTTCCATTTCATTCCGTTTCGAAACTCCACTATTCTTCCCCTAGCACTTAGACATCATCAACAGCCGCGTCGCGCGTGCTCTAAGTCTCCACCAACAGCAACTTTTTCCGCCCCGCCAAAGAAATGAGCTCCGCCGCTCAGTGCGGGTTCCCCAGTGATTTTCTCCGATCGTATTTCTTCTGATACGCGCAGCGTTCCCCGTTCCGCGCGATTTCTTCCCATGGCCCTCCTCATCCACCCCGCTTTACCCACGGGAACGCGCCCCTTGTCGAGTGTGACACTAACAAGCGAACTCAATAGGTGGGTCGTCGCCGCTGCGGCGTTTTCGCAAGCAATGCGCGCTTTATCGCAAGCCCGCGCTGCCTTCTTCTCACGCGGTGTACACCGTTCCTGGCTTCGCTATACGCTGCTGCGGTATGAACGACATCTCAGAACAAGAGCAACTGCACTCCCCATTTCCGATTCACCTACCCTTGTCCTCCTTCTGGCCGCATTTCTTGCCCACTCGATTCTAGCTCCCCATTCTCCCCGTTTTCGACTCTCGCTCCGTTCTCTCGCCCGTCCCTCTCCCTGCCTCCCGTTCCTTGCTTCCTCTCCCATCCCCCCACTCCCTTGTTCATTTCCTTATCTCCAGAATACCCTTGCCCCGCGCCGCGCCTACTCTCCTCCGCCCACTCGCTAGCCGCCGTGTCCCCCCTCCACACCGACTGCTGCGCCACTCCGCCAAGCGCAGCGAACGATCCCCATTACAGGCGGAGGGCGTGGCGCGCAGCTTCTGCAGGGGGGGCGGGGGAAGCGGATGCGGGGGCGGCGCCGCTGGTGAACGCTGCAAGCGATGGCGCTGTGAGGGCGGATGAAAGGGGATGGCGCAGTGAGGGCGGGTGAAAGGGGATGGCGCAGGGAGGGCGGGTGAAAGGGGATGGCGCAGGGAGGGCGGGTGAAAGGGGATGGCGCAGGGAGGGCGGGTGAAAGGGGATGGCGCAGGGAGGGCGGGTGAAAGGGGATGGCGCAGGGAGGGCGGGTGAAAGGGGATGGCGCAGGGAGGGCGGGTGAAAGGGGATGGCGCAGGGAGGGCGGGTGAAAGGGGATGGCGCAGGGAGGGCGGGTGAAAGGGGATGGCGCAGGGAGGGCGGGTGAAAGGGGATGGCGCAGGGAGGGCGGGTGAAAGGGGATGGCGCAGGGAGGGCGGGTGAAAGGGGATGGCGCAGGGAGGGCGAGTGAAAGGGGATGGCGCAGGGAGGGCGGGTGAAAGGGGATGGCGCACTGAGGGCGGGTGAGAGGGGATGGTGAGAGCGGGTGAATGGCAGTGGCGCGTGGAGGGCGGGTGAGCGAGGTAGCTTTTCCTTTCCTCCCCTCCCCTCCGCCCTTCTCCCCTCCCCACAATCATCCAACAAGCTGTCCGTTTAAATTGCCAGAGTTCAATCCCTGCACCCTTCCCCCATCGCACCCTTCCCCCATCGCACCCTTCCCCCATCGCACCCTTCCCCCATCGCACCCTTCCCCCATCGCACCCTTTCTCCTTTCCCTGCACACTTCACTTCACCCTTTCTCACCCTTCCCCCACCTCACCCTGTGTCGGGCGGATTGGGGAGTCCAACGGGGCGCCCATGGGCTGCCACTCCCACTGGTGGTGGTCTCAAGTGCCTTCCCCCTTCCCCTACCCCTTCCCCTTCCCCTTCCCCTCCTCCTCCTCCTCCTCCTCCTCCTCCTCCTCCTCCTCCTCCTCCTCCTCCTCCTCCTCCTCCTCCTCCTCCTCCTCCTCCTCCTCCTCCTCCCCTCCCATGTCCTCTCCTCCAGTCTCCGCCACTCGATCCGGTCTCTTCCGCTCGCCAGTGTCAGGCGGAGTGGAGAGGTGCAGTATGCGCAGGAGGGGTGGAGAGCGCCCACGGACTACCCGCCTCAGCAGTGGCAGTGCGCAGCCTGGTGGAGCACATCTCTGCTCCATCATGCCATGGCTTGGAGTTCCTGGCATAGCAGCCTTTCCTCTCACTTCCACCTTCTCACTCCCCACCTTCTCACTCCCCACCTTCTCACTCCCCTGTTGCCCAACTTCCTTGTTCCCTCTCCCTCCTCCCCTCCCCCTCCTCCCCTCTCCCTCCTCCCCTCTCCCTCCTCCCCTCTCCCTTACCATCACTTCCAGTGTCCGCCACTCGCCCCTGTCTCTTCCGCTCGCCCGTGTGCGGAGGGGTGGAGAGCGCCACGAGCGCCCGCGGCCTGGCAGCGCCAGCAGTGGTGGTGGCGGTGCGCAACCGGGTGGAGCGGGCGCAGTACGCGCAGCGCAGCTCTGCTCCATGATGTCCCGCTTGCACCACCGCCGCAAGGGTACCCCTTGGTTGGTGGCAGCGGGGGAGGCGACCTGGGCGGGCAGGACCTTGCAGTGCTGCGGGAGAAGGTATGAGGTGGTGGTCACAGCTGCCTTCGTGTGCCCCCCTGCTGCTCACTGCTGTCGCACCTGTGTGCACTTTCTCTGACGTTATGTCCCCTCCCCCCTCCGCTTCCACTTTCCTTCCGCTCCAGCACTTGACCCACGTCTCGTGCATGTTTGTGTTGACCATGTGCTTGTTTGTTCTTGCATGTTTGATTGTGCCCCCTTGTTTCATGCTGCAAAAATACACTACGGGGCATCGCTTGCTATCCGCGGGGGCCTCTCATCCCCTTATCACTTGCCGCTCATCCCCATCTCCCCCCCCCCCCACCATCCTTGAAGGCCGTGGCGGGCTCGCCCAGCAGCAGCAGGCTGGTGGTCAGGATGGTGGTCAGGCTGGTGGTCAGGATGGTGGTCAGGATGGTGGTCAGGATGGTGGTCAGGCTGGTGGTCAGGATGGTGGTCAGGCTGGTGGTCAGGCTGGTGGTCAGGCTGGTGGTCAGGATGGTGGTCAGGATGGTGGTCAGGATGGTGGTCAGGATGGTGGTCAGGCTGGTGGTCAGGATGGTGGTCAGGATGGTGGTCAGGCTGGTGGTCAGGATGGTGGTCAGGATGGTGGTCAGGATGGTGGTCAGGATGGTGGTCAGGCTGGTGGTCAGGATGGTGGTCAGGCTGGTGGTCAGGCTGGTGGTCAGGCTGGTGGTCAGGATGGTGGTCAGGATGGTGGTCAGGATGGTGGTCAGGATGGTGGTCAGGCTGGTGGTCAGGATGGTGGTCAGGATGGTGGTCAGGCTGGTGGTCAGGATGGTGGTCAGGCTGGTGGTCAGGCTGGTGGTCAGGCTGGTGGTCAGGCTGGTGGTCAGGCTGGTGGTCAGGATGGTGGTCAGGCTGGTGGTCAGGCTGGTGGTCAGGATGGTGGTCAGGCTGGTGGTCAGGATGGTGGTCAGGCTGGTGGTCAGGCTGGTGGTCAGGCTGGTGGTCAGGATGGTGGTCAGGCTGGTGGTCAGGATGGTGGTCAGGCTGGTGGTCAGGCTGGTGGTCAGGATGGTGGTCAGGATGGTGGTCAGGATGGTGGTCAGGCTGGTGGTCAGGATGGTGGTCAGGCTGGTGGTCAGGCTGGTGGTCAGGCTGGTGGTCAGGCTGGTGGTCAGGATGGTGGTCAGGATGGTGGTCAGGCTGGTGGTCAGGATGGTGGTCAGGATGGTGGTCAGGATGGTGGTCAGGATGGTAGTCAGGATGGTGGTGAGGCTGGTGGTCAGGATGGTGGTCAGGATGGTGGTCAGGATGGTGGTCAGGCTGGTGGTCAGGATGGTGGTCAGGCTGGTGGTCAGGCTGGTGGTCAGGATGGTGGTCAGGATGGTGGTCAGGATGGTGGTCAGGATGGTGGTCAGGCTGGTGGTCAGGCTGGTGGTCAGGCTGGTGGTCAGGATGGTGGTCAGGCTGGTGGTCAGGATGGTGGTCAGGCTGGTGGTCAGGATGGTGGTCAGGCTGGTGGTCAGGATGGTGGTCAGGATGGTGGTCAGGATGGTGGTCAGGCTGGTGGTCAGGATGGTGGTCAGGCTGGTGGTCAGGCTGGTGGTCAGGCTGGTGGTCAGGCTGGTGGTCAGGATGGTGGTCAGGCTGGTGGTCAGGATGGTGGTCAGGATGGTGGTCAGGATGGTGGTCAGGCTGGTGGTCAGGATGGTGGTCAGGCTGGTGGTCAGGCTGGTGGTCAGGATGGTGGTCAGGATGGTGGTCAGGCTGGTGGTCAGGATGGTGGTCAGGCTGGTGGTCAGGCTGGTGGTCAGGCTGGTGGTCTGGCTGGTGGTCAGGATGGTGGTCAGGCTGGTGGTCAGGATGGTGGTCAGGCTGGTGGTCAGGATGGTGGTCAGGATGGTGGTCAGGCTGGTGGTCAGGATGGTGGTCAGGATGGTGGTCAGGATGGTGGTGAGGCTGGTGGTCAGGATGGTGGTCAGGATGGTGGTCAGGATGGTGGTCAGGCTGGTGGTCAGGATGGTGGTCAGGATGGTGGTCAGGCTGGTGGTCAGGATGGTGGTCAGGCTGGTGGTCAGGATGGTGGTCAAGATGGTGGTCAGGATGGTGGTCAGGATGGTGGTCAGGATGGTGGTCAGGATGGTGGTCAGGATGGTGGTCAGGCTGGTGGTCAGGATGGTGGTCAGGCTGGTGGTCAGGATGGTGGTCAGGATGGTGGTCAGGATGGTGGTCAGGATGGTGGTCAGGCTGGTGGTCAGGATGGTGGTCAGGATGGTGGTCAGGATGGTGGTCAGGCTGGTGGTCAGGATGGTGGTCAGGATGGTGGTCAGGCTGGTGCTCAGGCTGGTGGTCAGGCTGGTGGTCAGGATGGTGGTCAGGCTGGTGGTCAGGCTGGTGGTCAGGATGGTGGTCAGGCTGGTGGTCAGGCTGGTGGTCAGGCTGGTGGTCAGGATGGTGGTCAGGATGGTGGTCAGGCTGGTGGTCAGGCTGGTGGTCAGGCTGGTGGTCAGGCTGGTGGTCAGGATGGTGGTCAGGATGGTGGTCAGGATGGTGGTCAGGCTGGTGGTCAGGATGGTGGTCAGGCTGGTGGTCAGGCTGGTGGTCAGGCTGGTGGTCAGGCTGGTGGTCAGGCTGGTGGTCAGGATGGTGGTCAGGATGGTGGTCAGGCTGGTGGTCAGGCTGGTGGTCAGGATGGTGGTCAGGCTGGTGGTCAGGATGGTGGTCAGGCTGGTGGTCAGGCTGGTGGTCAGGATGGTGGTCAGGCTGGTGGTCAGGATGGTGGTCAGGCTGGTGGTCAGGCTGGTGGTCAGGCTGGTGGTCAGGCTGGTGGTCAGGATGGTGGTCAGGATGGTGGTCAGGATGGTGGTCAGGCTGGTGGTCAGGCTGGTGGTCAGGATGGTGGTCAGGATGGTGGTCAGGATGGTGGTCAGGATGGTGGTCAGGATGGTGGTCAGGATGGTGGTCAGGATGGTGGTCAGGATGGTGGTCAGGATGGTGGTCAGGCTGGTGGTCAGGCTGGTGGTCAGGTTGGTGGTCAGGCTGGTGGTCAGGATGGTGGTCAGGCTGGTGGTCAGGATGGTGGTCAGGATGGTGGTCAAGATGGTGGTCAGGATGGTGGTCAGGATGGTGGTGAGGCTGGTGGTCAGGATGGTGGTCAGGCTGGTGGTCAGGATGGTGGTCAGGCTGGTGGTCAGGCTGGTGGTCAGGCTGGTGGTCAGGATGGTGGTCAGGATGGTGGTCAGGATGGTGGTCAGGCTGGTGGTCAGGCTGGTGGTCAGGCTGGTGGTCAGGCTGGTGGTCAGGATGGTGGTCAGGATGGTGGTCAGGCTGGTGGTCAGGATGGTGGTCAGGATGGTGGTCAGGATGGTGGTCAAGATGGTGGTCAGGATGGTGGTCAGGATGGTGGTGAGGCTGGTGGTCAGGATGGTGGTCAGGATGGTGGTCAGGATGGTGGTCAGGCTGGTGGTCAGGATGGTGGTCAGGCTGGTGGTCAGGATGGTGGTCAGGCTGGTGGTCAGGCTGGTGGTCAGGATGGTGGTCAGGATGGTGGTCAGGCTGGTGGTCAGGATGGTGGTCAGGATGGTGGTCAGGCTGGTGGTCAGGCTGGTGGTCAGGATGGTGGTCAGGCTGGTGGTCAGGATGGTGGTCAGGATGGTGGTCAGGCTGGTGGTCAGGCTGGTGGTCAGGATGGTGGTCAGGATGGTGGTCAGGATGGTGGTCAGGATGGTGGTCAGGATGGTGGTCAGGATGGTGGTCAGGATGGTGGTCAGGATGGTGGTCAGGATGGTGGTCAGGATGGTGGTCAGGCTGGTGGTCAGGCTGGTGGTCAGGATGGTGGTCAGGCTGGTGGTCAGGCTGGTGGTCAGGCTGGTGGTCAGGATGGTGGTCAGGATGGTGGTCAGGATGGTGGTCAGGATGGTGGTCAGGCTGGTGGTCAGGATGGTGGTCAGGCTGGTGGTCAGGATGGTGGTCAGGATGGTGGTCAGGATGGTGGTCAGGATGGTGGTCAGGCTGGTGGTCAGGATGGTGGTCAGGATGGTGGTCAGGATGGTGGTCAGGCTGGTGGTCAGGATGGTGGTCAGGATGGTGGTCAGGCTGGTGGTCAGGATGGTGGTCAGGCTGGTGGTCAGGATGGTGGTCAGGCTGGTGGTCAGGATGGTGGTCAGGATGGTGGTCAGGATGGTGGTCAGGCTGGTGGTCAGGATGGTGGTCAGGCTGGTGGTCAGGATGGTGGTCAGGATGGTGGTCAGGATGGTGGTCAGGATGGTGGTCAGGATGGTGGTCAGGATGGTGGTCAGGATGGTGGTCAGGATGGTGGTCAGGATGGTGGTCAGGATGGTGGTCAGGATGGTGGTCAGGATGGTGGTCAGGATGGTGGTCAGGATGGTGGTCAGGATGGTGGTCAGGATGGTGGTCAGGATGGTGGTCAGGATGGTGGTCAGGATGGTGGTCAGGATGGTGGTCAGGATGGTGGTCAGGATGGTGGTCAGGATGGTGGTCAGGATGGTGGTCAGGATGGTGGTCAGGATGGTGGTCAGGATGGTGGTCAGGATGGTGGTCAGGATGGTGGTCAGGATGGTGGTCAGGCTGGTGGTCAGGATGGTGGTCAGGATGGTGGTCAGGATGGTGGTCAGGATGGTGGTCAGGATGGTGGTCAGGATGGTGGTCAGGATGGTGGTCAGGATGGTGGTCAGGATGGTGGTCAGGATGGTGGTCAGGATGGTGGTCAGGATGGTGGTCAGGATGGTGGTCAGGATGGTGGTCAGGCTGGTGGTCAGGATGGTGGTCAGGATGGTGGTCAGGATGGTGGTCAGGCTGGTGGTCAGGATGGTGGTCAGGATGGTGGTCAGGCTGGTGGTCAGGCTGGTGGTCAGGATGGTGGTCAGGATGGTGGTCAGGCTGGTGGTCAGGATGGTGGTCAGGCTGGTGGTCAGGCTGGTGGTCAGGCTGGTGGTCAGGCTGGTGGTCAGGATGGTGGTCAGGATGGTGGTCAGGCTGGTGGTCAGGCTGGTGGTCAGGCTGGTGGTCAGGATGGTGGTCAGGATGGTGGTCAGGATGGTGGTCAGGATGGTGGTCAGGCTGGTGGTCAGGATGGTGGTCAGGCTGGTGGTCAGGCTGGTGGTCAGGCTGGTGGTCAGGCTGGTGGTCAGGCTGGTGGTCAGGATGGTGGTCAGGATGGTGGTCAGGCTGGTGGTCAGGCTGGTGGTCAGGATGGTGGTCAGGCTGGTGGTCAGGATGGTGGTCAGGATGGTGGTCAGGATGGTGATCAGGATGGTGGTCAGGCTGGTGGTCAGGATGGTGGTCAGGCTGGTGGTCAGGCTGGTGGTCAGGCTGGTGGTCAGGCTGGTGAGACCCGCCCCTCTGTGCCCCGCCGTGACATAGGAGAAGCCGGTGTGCGAGGGGGGGATGTAGGGGTGTCTGTGTGTGGGGGGGAGGGGGGGGTGCTGGGGCGGATGAGAAGAAAAGGGCAGTGCATGGAGGAGGAGAGTGGCTGGAGGGAATGCGGCAGTGCAGGAGGGGAGACAGGTGTAGAGAAACGACCAATACATGGCGAACTTGGCACTTGGTGGGTGCAGGCGAGTGAGTGAGTGGGTGAGTTAGTGAGTGAGTGAGTGAGTGAGTGAGTGGGCGAGTGAGTGAGTACGAGGGTGAGTGAGAGGTTGGTGGCAGCGCAGGCTCTTTGGTCGAAGGTCGAGAGCGGCCTGCTGCTGGCCTTGTTGCTCCTCCATGCGTGTCTCTTCCTCCGCCGCCAGCGGCACCAGCTCTGCTGCCATCAGTGCAGGGAGGAGAGCACAGGAGAGGAGGGCACCCCATGGCGCGCTGCTCGTGCTGTCATGCCCCACACGCCCTGGGTTGGACGGATCAGGCAAAAATCATGGTAGCATGGTGGCATGGTAGCATGGCAGCATGGCGGCATGGTAGCATGGCAGCACGAAGCAGACAAGCCGTGTTCCATGTACCCACAACTTCCCCTGGCAGCTCCCCCTTCCTCCTCCAATGTTCATCGTTAGTCTCCCCACTCTGCCCCCACGTTTTATCGCCCAACGTCCCATCTGGCGCCCATCTTTTCCCCTCCCCTCCCCCCTCACGCACAGTTGCTGATGCCCGGGTAGATGCCGGCGGTGGTGATGGCTGGCACACCCCCGGCACTGCAGCCCCGTGCAGAGCCCGCGCGTTGACAGCGACCGCCACGTCGCCACACACGCCCACGTAGGGCGTCTGGGAAGGAGGGGGGGATGGGGGGAGGGAGACGGGTGAAAGGGAGGGGATTGGGCAGAAGCGATGGCGCTCTGAGAGCACAGAGCAAGGAAGCGGCGCTGCAGGGGATGAAGCAACAGGGGAAGGATGGGAGAGGCGAGGCAGCAGCAGCTGCACTGGCAAAGAATGGCACGGGGAGGCACGCCGTGGTCCATGGGAAATGTGCAACTTATGGGTGGGAGAGTGGGGGCTGAAACCCCTTGGGTGTACTGTGTGGCATGTTACTGTGTGGCATGTTACTGTGTGGCATGTTACTGTGTGGTACAGTGTTGTATGATACAGGTGGTGTGATACAGTGTGTTACCATACAGTTTGGTGTGATACAGTGTGGCATGATGCAGTGCGGTTGGATGCTCAGGGGTATGATTCAGTGTGGCTTGTTTCAGTGTGGCTTGTTTCAATGTGGCTTTCTACTGCGTGACATACTGGGGTGTGCCATTGTATGGCATGGTGTGACATGTCATTTGGTGACACAGCATGGCATGATATCATGCCATATCCAGGCGGGCAGCATCTGGAGGGCAGTGGAGCACGATGGAAGGCAGGGAAGACAGTGTGGGAGGGAAGAGGAGGGAAGTGGGGTGGGGGAGTGGAGGTGTGCCATGCGGCAAGCATGGCTGCCTCACCTGCCATGCCCTTCCAATGCATTGCACGGAGGGAAGAGGAGGGAAGAGGGGTCTGGTTGGGGAGTGGAGGTGTGCCATGTGGCAAGCATGCTTGAGTGCGGAACAAGACACTGCAGCGTATGAGCGTGCGGTGCAGCATATGAGCGTGTGGTGCAGCGTATGAGCAGGTGTGTGCGGTGGGAGGGAAAGAGCAGGTGTGTGCGGTGGGGCGGTGGGAGGGGAAGAGCAGGTGTGTGCGGAGGGGGAGAGGTACATGGGGGTAGCCCTGCCAGCCTTGTGTGTGGTGTGGCAAGACGGGGTCGGGCAAGACCACACGAGTGCCCCAGGCTTGTGCGGGTGACGCGGGTGGGCGAGGCAGGGTGTGGGGGAACCTCCCTTTCCTTGGGCCCCAAACCCCTCCCTCTCCCTAGTTTCTCTATGACGCTAGGTATGGCTCTTCCCTCCCAGGGGTTTAAAAGTGAGGGAATCTTTGTGTGTGATGATACAAGTGAGGGAATCTTCGTGTGTGATGATACAAGTGAGGGAATCTTCGTCGAAATCACCCCTTCCCCTCACCCTCTCCCCCCCCCCTCCACTCCCCCCCCTCACCTTCCTTTTCTGCCCCCTTTCTCCTCCCCCTCCCTCCCCCATTTTCCCCACCCCAGTTTCCAGTCTCTACGAGGCTCAGTTGAGGAGAGTGGCAGTGCTGGCGACGGCGAAGCGTGAGTTTTGATACGCCTCAAAAAGCTCCCTCCCCTCCGTTTCCTCTCCCACCCTCCTTCCTCTCTTTTCCTCCTCTTCCCCTCCCCCCTCCCCTCCCCCTCCCCCTCCCCCTCCCCCCCCCCCTGTGTTGATCGAGGCACCTCAAAAGGCGGCGTCGGTGGTGGGAGGCGCTGCTTTCTGCAGCCATGGACGATGCGCGGGCAGCATGCTCGCGTGCTGCCTCGCTCGGAGGTGTGCGCTGAGGTGCGCGCGGCGCTGGCCACTGCCGTGATGGAGGAGGTGCCGTCGCCAGGTGAGATGCACCAAAGGGGGCGGGGAGGGGAGGTCGTGCTGGGGAGGGGGGAAGGTGGGGAGGGGCGGGCGCAGTGGGGAGTGCGGCAGGTGGGGAGAGGAGGGCGCAGTGGGGAGGGGAGCACTTTGGAGGTGCCTCAGAAGGCGCAAGGGACGGGGTGCAAGGGGAAGAGCGGGTGGGCGTTGCTGTGCCAGTCGTCTCCCGCACTGTCGTCAGCAGCATCGACTTGAGGCTCACCCCATATTGCGCCACTGTGTGGCTCAATGTCCCTTGATAATGCGCGACTCAGCGCTCATCTCGCTGCCCCTGTTAGCCCCTCACAACGTGGCCCTCTGTCAATCCTCCGCTCGGACGCACTCGACTGTGCTGTGCTTCTCGTGTTCTCCCCTCCTCCTCCTCGCGATCCTGTCCGGTCTTCTACGCTCAGTCTTCCCCGTGTATCCGCACCCCTCTCGCGCGCGCTCCTTCTCTTGTGCCCCTCCTCTCGTGCGCACTCACCTCATTTGCACTCCCCTCAGGCACATGTCTCTAAAGCACCATTCTCCCCTTCCGCTCCCCCCTCCCACCTTGCAGTTTTTGAACGTGCAGATTTTTGTTGCAGGCTGTGCACTGGACGTGGAGAATTTCAACGGCGGCATGCGGCCGTTTGCGTATAGCATAAAGACAAAGACCCATATCAAGGTTTGGGGGGTGTCACAAAAGCCTATATTGTATAGTATTTGGAGTTAATACTTCCTATTCAATTATTCCCCATAAATTTCAGTCCCAGCACTCGCTGGCGAGATCATTTTATCGTCAAATGCAGAAATCCAGACAGGTGTCAGTTCTCAAATGGCGACTAGCAAACTTCAGTAGATGAGGCCGACAGTGCTGGTGAGATGGCGTTTTCCACTCGATGGAATCTCAAACGTGTTCCAGCTCAGCTCGCCACACTATACCACGTAGGGCGTTCCACTTGTGGCGTTACGGTGCAAGTTTTCCATGGTGGAGCTGATTGTGGGCAATACACCAATGGCAGTTTTCGACACCTCTGCGGCAATCTGGCAGTTGCTGGTGCTGGAGCAGTGACATTAATTGCCATATCCCCCTCTCGTTCCCTCCATTCTATCCCACACTTCCTGTTTCTCGAGCTTCTGTCCTCCCTCCTTCAGTCAGCTAGTTTTCGTTCTAGTTAGTCTCAAAAATCATTCGTAGACGTTTTCCTTAGCACCCTAGCTACCTACTTACTTCGTCCAGCACCATTTCCTTTCGCTGCGCCATTGCTTTGTTTCGTTTCAAATTTGTAACGAAGAATTAACTTTCGCTTTTTTTTTTTCTCTGTTTCGCAGCACGTTCTTACGATACAAGAAGGGTACTTGCCAATGAAGTAATCACCTTCGATATCGCCCTGTTTCGTCACGTCTTCAGAATGTAGTATACATTTAGCAGAACTTACGTCTGTAGTTTTGTATGTTTGCGGATCGACATTTCCTGGTTAGCTTTGAGTCGAAGTGCTTATTGATATGTGTCGCCTTGGTGTCTCTCAGTACGAAAAGCATGGACATGCTTTTTTGAATCACTTTCAGATGCAAGCCAGGCATGTTATCCACCCAATCTGCAAGCTTGGGTTTTCAAGCTTTAATATCTAACGGCTAATGTCTGTCCGCGGCCCTGTGTTGAGCGTTGTATTAGGGCGTGTCCAGCGCGTACGTTTACAGGTACTATACAGTTCATTCGTCGTGGTCTGGAACGATATCAGGTGGTTCTCAGCGGTTCAGAAATTTCACCGTTTTAAACCGTGACGCAATACATACTACCGCACTGGATGAACTGTAATGTACGGAAAACGTACGCGCTGGACCCGCCCTTAGCATCTCATGTATACTGTTGTGAATTGTTTTTTCGTAGTGGTTACTATATTGGAACCTCCTTGATTTGTTATGCTGTTTTTTGGGTTGCGTAGCAACCTTATACATTCGTTTTCACTTTTCGGTTGACTGACGTGAACAGTGATTTTTCCCCATCCATATTGGAAGAATCATTGTTCACGTAAGTCCAACAAAAATGTGAAACCAAATGTACCCAATCAATCCATAGTCGTCTATAAATACGGCGAATGGAGTAATTGGTACGGTCGGACAAAAAACGAGGGACAACACCATAGACCCGAATACACAAATTACAATGCGCACGAGCGAACGTGTACAAAAACCGCACTTGGAAATCGTGCATGTTTCGAGGCGAACACTAAATGCATCAATGCTGCAACCGAGGTTGATATGGTACGGAAGAGGCAAGCAAAGCTCCCCCACCGACGATGACAACCCCAATTGCATACACGAGGCACTTAGAATCACACCCCAAAACAGACACAACACGTTACACAAACGAGAGCACACGAACTCGTACAAAAACAAGGGACAACAGTTGTTGTGAATGCTTCGAAGCTAGTGCTAGAATGCATTGATGATGCAACTGAGATTGATCTGGTATGGAAGAGGCGAGCAAAGCTGCCCCACCAACGATCACAACCCCAGTTGCATATACGAGGCACTTAGCACCACACCCCGAAACAGACACAAACAATACCAACATACGTTTACACATGTATGCACAGACACATACAGGCTCACTCACACATACACACACACGCAAACAAACACAAAAGCATACTACCGCTATTGAACATGCAATGCAAGCGTAACGAATGGAGTTCAGACATGCATAAATCATCGTTAGCCTGTCCCACATTCCCCTCCCTCCCTCCCTCGTCTCCCATCCCCCCCTCCCTTCCAATATCCCCTATTTTTTCGACCCTCCCGTATCTGTTTACCCTCTCTCAACCCCTCCCCTTTCTCCACAAGAAAAACCAAATAGTGCAGCTTGAACTCCCTGCACAAGAAAGCACAAACAGCGCATTCAGCTCACACTCCCTTGACAAGAAAGCAAAAAACAGATAATGCAGCTGACACTCCCTGCACAAACAAAAACAAAAGCAGAGAATACAACTTGCATGAGCTGCACAGCACAGGAAGACAAATCACAGGAATTCAGCCCACCCGATGCACAAGAAACGAGGTAAGCATTATAGAAATATACTGATGACAAATGAAGTACTTGAAATAAAGATGAGGGACGAAAACAATCAAATTTGACATCTCGCGAAGGTGATTCGGTATAAGACCTCATGTCTTCACACATACCATGCCAGCATGCACGCAATACCTCGCAGCCACCCTCGCAGCCACCCTCGCCTTCACCCTGACACTCATCCTCGCACCTCAATCTCGCACTTCCTCTCACATTCACCCTCGTACACACACTCGTATGCACCCTCAAGTGCATGCATGCACTCACTCTTGGACTCCCGCACTCATTCCCTCACACTCTCTCGCACTCACGCTCGCAACCACTCATGGAGACACAAGTACTTTCAACCGTTCTTAGACACACTCACAGAAACACACATAAACCCTCACACTCACCTACGGACTCGCGCTCGCGCTCACCCTCGCACTCACTCGAACACGCACACGACACACAGCCGCACGCACACTCCAACTCAACTCGCACTCACACCCACACTCGTACCTACAGTCACACCCACACTCACGCTCACACTCCTTCTCGCACTCATACTCGCCCTCACTCTCCCACTTGCTCTTGGACATACTCGTGCTCACCCTCGCACTCACTCTTACACTCACACCGCGATCACCCTTGCACTTAACATTGCAGCCACCAACTCACTCACTAAGCCTCACACTCTCGCACTCACTCTTCACTCACACAAATATACTCTCAACTCTTCGTTGACGCTCACAAAAGCACACACACCCTTGCACACATCCCGCACTCACCCTCACACACACTCGAACGCACCCTCGTGCTCCCTTGCACTCAACCTCGCACGCACACACACACACTCACGCTCGCTCTCACCCTCAAACTCGCCCTCGCACTCACTCTTAGACTTGCTTTCCCACTCGCTTTCTCACTACTCTCGCACTCACTCATGCACTTGCTCTCTAATTCAACCTCGCACTCGCCCTCCGCTCACAACCGCACTCACCCTCGAGTGCATGCGCGCATCTCACTCTCGCACTCACACAAGCACCTAGATTCACACCCGCACTCACCCTCTCGCACACCGACTCACTCTTGCAACCGCTCACACACACTCACGCCCTAAGCGCAAGCGCCCACGGTGCAGAGCACTAACCGCAAGCGACATAAGCGCAAGCGGATTAGGCGCAAGCGCCCACGGCACCCACGCAAACGGCGCAAGCGCGCACACACTCTCTCTCTCTCCCACACGCACTTCGTGCTCCCTCCAGCTCTTCCTTCGCTCTCGCATACGCTGTCTCACGCGCACTCTCCTGCGTGCTCGCTTCCCCTCGCGCTCCCTCTCTCCCCCTCTTCAATTGTTAGTGCAACGCAAGACGAGGCAAGTCTACACAGAAACTACAAATAAGGTAGAAAACCGATGGAATTTCATACGGGTGGGAGGAATAAACGCACCTGCAAATAAAGGTGCCTCGAAGACCAACCCGCGCTTGCGCACCAGCTCTCGTTCGCGCACCATCCTTATCCATGCTCTCAAACCTCCCCACGGCGGGACGGGAGGGAGTGGCGCGGCGGGGATGAGGGAGAGGCGGCGGCGGAATGGAAGGCGGCGGCGGGATGGGAGGGAGTGGCGACGGCGGGATGAGAGAGAGTGGCGAAGCGGGATGGGAGGGAGAGACGGCAGCGGGATGGGAGGGAGAAGCGGTGGCGGGATGGGAGGGGAGTGGCGGCGGCGGGATAGGAGGGAGAGACGGCGGCGGGATGGTAGGGAGAGGCGGCGGCGGGATGGGAGGGAGTGGCGACGGCGGGGTGGGAGGGCGAGGCGACAGGGGGGTGGGAGTGAGAGGCGACGGCGGGGTAGGTGAGAGAGGCAACGGCCGGGTGGGAGGGGACGACGGCAGGATGGGAGGGAGCGGTGGCGACGGGATGGGAGGGAAAGGTGGCGGCGGGATGGGAGGGAGAGGTGGCGACGGGATGGGAGGGAAAGGTGGCGGCGGGATGGGAGGGAGAGGTGGCGACGAGATGGGAGGGTGAGGTGGCGGTGGGATGGGAAGGAATGGCGACGGCGAGGTAAAAGGGAGGGGCGACGGCGGGGTGAGAGGGAGAGGCGACGGGTGTTAGGAAACACTAGTAGCAGGATGGGCGATGGTTGGGTTGGGAGTAGGGTTTGCGGTTGGGAGAGAAGGTAGAGAGAGCAGGTACGGGAGGAATTTGAGGAACCAAGAAGAGAGGAGACGAGTTGGAGCTGACAGCTGGGAAAGGGAAGGAGCTTGTTGGGGTGGTTTGTCCTGCAGGTAAGTTTTTTTCTGTCAGAAAAAAAACAACGCTTGAAGAGTTCTCTGCACAGAAAAATGAAACCGATGGGGCGAATTACAAAACATAAACAGAATCTGGGCACTTCGAAAGCCAAAAAATAAATGCACCCAACATTTGGAAGCTAGTGTCACGTGAACTCACACGCGCGACACATCTGAGTCAGATGCAAAACACAAACCCAATATTGTAACGTGTAATACAATAAAGCACACCGATTTCTAGATCGTTATCCGTTCTTTAAAACTTCAAAATTGTATTTTCAGAAAACAAAATCTACTCATATTAGGGCATTAATGAGCTTGTTTGGTCACAGTATATTTAGATGTGGAAACGTAGAACAAATAATTCTTTCAGTATAATATAGTAGAAACCTTCGTTACCGGTATCTTTTATTCTACCGTACGAACGTACCTTATACGCAACCCTTCCGACGTTAGCGTCGAGTCTTGTTTTGTTATGCTGTTGGTGAGGTTTATCTTGAAAGCACACGGTATTATAATTTGAGCACTAAAGGCCCACAGTTCACAGTAATTGTATCGTCACTGTGGGAACTGAAAATGTCTTGTCTGCATCACTCTATAAATTGTGATCACTGAAGAATCAAATGCGTCACTGTAGAAATTGTGATCAAAGGAAGTTGGGAGTGAATATTGTTCAATCGAATTTGCAGACAACGTTTATTCTGCTAGACGTAAATGATGTGTTCTATGTAATTTGTTGTTCACCTGTGTAGTCGCGAAGTGTAGATTTCTACTATTATGAAATAATGTTAGCCTCCGAAGCGCATTCTCGATGTCCTGAGCGAAGTCCTGCGGGATTCCCGAGGGATTTCCTGAGAAGTAGGTGTTCCGTCATGAATTCCTTGAGCCTGGTGTTCTGGCTTATTTTCGCTGCTCCAAGATAAATGATCCTCTGGTCACAGCGTTTCCAGGATCGTCGTCGGAGTCAGGGACCAGACTCGCGACACCCCTTAACCTGCGATCTAAGATGGATGCCGTGAACCATGGCGGGAAAACGACCACTGTAGAGAAGTGTGTGGAGGTTTATCAACTTCCCACTCGCTTGCCAACGCTCCGGTTAATTTTCTTCCTCTGATTGATTTCGCAGTTCCGTCGGATATTCAGAGTTCCTGTTCTACGCATCGTACTCTTCTTTTGCGCCTGCTCGTTTGTCCGCTTTGCCCACCTATCTGCCTCACTCTCCCTCACCCGTCAGGCCGGCCGCGGGGAGCAGCCTCGCGAGATTCCCCATCAGCGATCTGTACGACGTGGAGCGTTACCTCGAGGCGGTGCAGCGACAGCACGTCGTCGCCAGTCGCAACCTCCTGGATCGGCAACACCATAATGGAGCTCCTGGCGCGCACGACGGCTCAGACCAGACGATTTTGGAAGTCATGCTCAGCTCCCAGAGGGTAGGATCCGGGGCTAGTGGGTGATATAAACACTTTTTTTTTTTTTTGCCAAGTTGATGCACGGAAGCTGCTACGTAGACGTATTCGTTTACATACGAGCTGTAATTTAGTCACACACATACACATGCACAGTGCACACACACATGCACAGTGCACACACACACGTGCACACACATACACATGTACAGTTCACACACACCCACACATGCACAGTGCCTCCCTCTCATTCCTCCTCACTCCCATCTCCGTCCTCCCTTCTCCTTCCTTCTCATTCCTCCTCACTCCCATCTCTGTCCCCTCTTCTCCTTCCCTCTCATCCCTCCACACTCCCATCTCTGTCCCCTCTTCTCCTTACCTCTCATCCCTCCACACTCCCATCTCTGTCCCCTCTTCTCCTTACCTCTCATCCCTCCACACTCCCATCTCTGTCCTCCCTTCTACCTCCCCCTCATCCCTCCACACTCCCATCTCTGTCCCCTCTTCTCCCTCCCTCGCATCCCTCCACACTCCCATCCCTGTCCCCTCAACTCCCTACCTCTCATTACTCCACACTCCCATCTCTGCCCTCCCTTCTCCTTCTCTCTCAACCCTGCTCACTCCCATCCCTGCCCTTCCGTCTTCCTCCCTCTCATCCCTTCTCACTCTCCTCTCTGTCCTCCCTTTTTCCTCCCTCCAATTCCTTGTCAGATTGATTCCAATGTTGAAGGATGTGTTTGGCGAATTCCAAGCATCCGAGTTCAACATCGGCAAGGTGCACGGCCTTGTGCATTTGGTCGATGACATTATACGCTCCAGTGTCCCCGTTCACTACAACGCCAACATGTTCGAGTTTCTTCACCAACCTCTTGTAAAGAGGGCGTACCGTGCAAGCAACAAACGTGACGCTATGCCTCAAATCGTGAAGCATAGTGTCATGGCACGAATGCTGCAAGCTCTTGATTACTCGGACCACAACAAGGAGGATTCACACCATCGAATGGTCGCCCTACAAAAGGTAGATGAAGCACGGTATAACATAGTCCTCTAAACTGCTTCTAACCATCTTCTTTATGTTTAATAACAAGTGCATCCCAATCTGCACCGCAGGCCATGGAAACTGGGAGAAACACACTCGTGGCCACGTCGCACAAGGTGAACTGGAGGGACTCTCGATTTGTTGGCGGCGATCTCTGGCGGGAGTACGAGACAGCAGCACCTGGCGACATGTTGCAGCTCCGCGCCTTGTTGTCACAACGACAAGCCGATGGCGTTGAATTAAGCGACGAGATCCAAGTCAGAAAGGGCATGGCTATACCAGGTGATGAGGATTTCACAAGGTATTCTAGTCAAACGCACTATGTGCGGGCAACTCCAATGTTCATGAAGGCACCTTGGTTCAGTGATGTTGCTGTTTTGGGAACTGAGGTGGAAGTGTTACCGGATGGCACGAGGAAGCCCAAGGATGTGATCTGGTATGCGCGATTGCTGCTCTTGTTCGTAGTTGCACCAAAGGATCGAGCAGCAGAATTGGCGGACCAGAAGGAGCGTGCGTTTGTTAGGTTCTACCGAGTTACAGACGAGGCGCATGCATCCCATTGTCCTGTGCTAAGGTGGGAGGAACCGGATAACGAGTATCAGGTGGTAGAGATTGACAGTATTTTGAGGGTGGCTCATGTGGTTCCTGTTGCTGGGAATAAGTTTGTCATGAATAAGTTCAAATTCTATTGAAATACTCTTGATATACATTTTTTTTTTAGATGCAGCCTTTCACAACGGTTGCAACACTCTCATAATCAGTAGGAAAACCATGAGGACCAAATTAGCCCCATTATCCAACAAGTACAACCATAAACTATGAAGTTGGTTCAAAAGAAATGAGTATCTGCAACTGGTATTACTAAACCTGTGAGTTCAACGTTTAGAAACACAATCGACCTATTCTTAGCGAACCATTCTGTGAAGAGCATTTGTTGTTCATTCATCTGTTTGTTTTCTCACGCGGACCTGCGAGGATTTCAATGTCGTGACTGCGACACTGTTTTGCTAAACACTGGACATGTTATGCCGTGCGAGGTGCGAATCATATGTTTACGCTGACATTTAAACTCTCGGTAAACTAGGCCGTGGTGACGAAATCGGTTTCTTGATATGTTTTTTTTTTTTTTTTTTTTTTTTTACACAGCTCACTCGATTGTTAACTGCGGCACTGTTTGGCAGCACTATCACTTTCGTGTTGTCTCTTTGTGCCAGCAAGTTGGTCTGTGGGCTTGGTACAGTGTACATTACAGTTTCGGTAGGATTTCTGCACCAAGTCTTCTGGTGAGCTGTTGCCTTGCTGGCAAGCCGAGGCGCTGTGCGAAAAAACAGGCGCGAAAACTGTAGCAACACTCTGACTCTGTGCTTTGCAAAGTCGACTCGGTTTGCCCTGCTGGCTAGTTGCGCGACAAAAGAGCCCACCATCGATGTGCAGTGTTGACAGCTGGATGTTTCTGACTGTTGACATGTATGTGCATCGATCAAAATGTGGGCAGGGTCAATATATTTTGTTGCGTGATTGCACGGTGCGGAACTGCAGAACCTTCTAAACATTCTTCTGTTCGACTCAAAAAAGATGTCGAAAAAAAAAATGTGTGCTGTATCTGCCCGTCCGATCTGATCGGCAGTTCGCTAAAGTCCAGAAACACCGACGTCTTCTGTCCACGTCATTCCGACCTCATTCCGTTTTGCTAAACCGAGTCAGAAAATACACAACTTTCTGTACCGTTGGGGAAACCGCGCCATGCCCTTTTGCTCGCTAATTCGCCAGTAGCCACATTAACAGACACTTTCACGCACCGCTTGTGCTCACAGTATCCCGCCTAAACAGATTCACAACGGTAGAAGCCAACGGGTAGCCTTTACTTCCCTGCTCTGTACCATATGCCATGTGTGCTCCAGCTATTCCTGGTGTTATGTGCTTTGGACGGGGTAATTAAAAAAAAAAGAAGTACTGCCCCACAGCCATCAATCCCGACCTTTCGTTTCCATCGCTGTCCCCACTCTCTCTCCACCAGCGGATCCTCGTCCCCTCATGGCTGAACTCCCTCGTGAGTTTCTGGAGGGTCGTGCCAAGAGGAAGAAGAACATCCCTGCTAGGTTTCGTAATTACGAAACAGAGTACCCTGGTTCACGCGGGCGAGCAGTAGCACATGGAGAGTTAAACAAAGCACAGAAAACTACTCAGGCAGGTACACCAGTCAACCCTGCTCCCTTGGTTGGTAGTCCTGCACCTGCCGCAAGCGGTCCTCCAACGGTTGCAAGTGATTCAGCCGTGGTAACTAATGGTGCTACCGTGGTTGGAGTTACTGCAACGAACGTCAGCGCAGAGAGCGTGATTGGTTCTCAGGAGGACGGCTCTCACGACAACCTTGCCGTCTCAGGGTCCGACCTCGCCGTCGTCCGCACAGGTACTATGCCTTTTCAACCCACGAAAACTATTGGTTTTCTTCTTGTGTGGTTCACTTTACTAAACCGTTTTGTTGTTTTTTTTTCTTTTTCAGGGACCCCAATCTCCTCAGACCGGAACGTGTATCATCGGGAAGTTAACACGTTCAACTCGCTGGAGTCAAGTATTCGCGTTACACTCGCTAACATTGTGGATACGCTCGACAGCGTCAACGAGAGGCTTCGGCACACCGAAGAAACACAGCGAGCCCTCCTCAAAATCGTCACCGAACTTTCCAAAAACATCAATCTACCTAGCTGGGGGTCTGATGTTCAAGTCCAGGTGTGTTTAGTTAACCGATTCGTTAACCATTCCGTTTTCGCATCAATGGTTTCCACCATCAAGCTAACAAACTCTTCCGTTGCTCTTTGCTGCAGGAGAAGTTTGGCGAAGTGTTTGACACGCTGTTGAACGGTGCTAAGCTCGAGAATTGGAGGATCTATCAGTCCACCGAAGAGTTCAAGGCCGTTTTGTCTGATGTGCTAGATGTGCAGGTCGAAGAGGCTGCTAGGTTCAACGCTGATTTTAAGAACAAAAATTGGGGCGATAAAATGATCACTCTTTGCAATGGCAGGAGAGGGAAGCTTAGCACCAAATTTTGGCAGTGTGCATATGCTCTTCTTAAAGATCCTCTTGACAAAGTCGTCCCGAATTGAGAGAATGAGAACGAGAATGAATGAACTATGAAATGAAGTGAGTACAAATATGAAACCCTAATTGGTTGTACCCCCTATGGGATACCCCACTATAGCCTACACAACAGCATAAGCTATAATGTTCTGACACACCCCCATAGGCAAAGTGGGGGAGAACAAGGGGTCACAAGACCAGTCAAGCAAAGCAAAGCAAGCTCAGGGTGGATCACAAAGTCACCACACAGTCTGAGCACAGGGTCAAGGCCACACTGCCAGTTCACATGCAAGAGTACACACATATATATAAAGCTAGACAAGCAAGAGCAGGTATATATATATGTGAGAGTACAAGCAAGGTCAAGAGGAGAGCAAGTGAGGCAAGACGGGCACAAGACCCAGCTGAGTGCAGAAGCGCTGATGATCACAAGGCGGAAGTGCCTTGGTGAAGACATCAGCAGTGTTGGCCTCAGAGGCCACGTACGCAAGCCGCAACTGTCCACGTTGCTGTAGCTCACGAGCAAGGAAGTAGCGGAGAGCAATGTGCTTTGTTCTGTGCTCCAGTCGCTGCTCTCGACACAAGGCCAGCATGGCCTTGTTGTCTACGTACAGGACTGGAGGAGAACGAGGCGGCTCTCCAAGGTCGGTCAGCAGGTAGGTGAGCCAGCGAAGCTCCTGTGCAGCCATGGCCTTAGCACCCCCAGGCCCAGCACCCCTAGGCTCCGCACCCCCAGGTACAGCACCCCCAGCCTCAGCACCCTCAGCAGCACCAGAGTCACCAGTGACCTCGACAGGCTCGACTGCGTCTACCTGGGACACACCTGAAGGGGCAGGACCCTGAGGGGGGAGGGGGTCTACCTGGGGGGGACCTGGTACCAGGAAGAGTGGGGGTGGGGGGAGGGACGGAGTGCGGTAGGGGAAGAGGCGGTAGTAGGGGACCGACTCGTCAAACGTGACGTCCTGGGAGGACAGAACACGGCGAGAGGTGGGGTGGTAAAACTGCCACCCAGGCGCGTCAGGGGGGAACCCCAGGAAGACGCAAGGAGCAGCACGAGGGGATAGTTTGTCCGCAGACAGGTCGCGGACAAACGCCCGAGATCCCCAGACCCGGAACGCCGACGCATCGCCAACCTTCCCCGTCCACAGCAAGGCTGGGGAGGTCTCCGGCCTGGAGACCCTGGGGTGGAGGTTGATCTGATGCGCCGCGTACCTCACCGCAAACGGCCACAGAAAATGGGGGGCAGCCGCATGCATCATAGACGTACGAGCGACGTCCATGACCATGCCAATGCGGCGCTCAGCAATCCCATTTTGCTGCGGTGAGTCCGGAAGCGTGAAGGTCTGACGGATGCCCCGTGCACGACAGTAGGCACGCAGAAGGCCAGAGGAGAACTCTCCGCCTCTGTCCGAGTGCAGACGCAGAACAGGAAAGTCCGAGCCGAAGCTCTGCCTGAGCTGGAGACGAGCTGCGCGGATCCAGTCGATCAGCACCTCAGTGACATCACCCTTGCTGCGCAAGGGGAAGACTGTGGTGTAACGCGAGTAGTCGTCAACAACGAGCAGGAAGTAGCGCTCGTGACCCTGTCCACGGACGCGGGCTGGGCCCCACACGTCCATGTGAAGTGTCTGCAACGGGGCCTCTGTCGAAGGAAACTGGGAGGAGTGAGGGGCAGCACGCTGGCGCCCCTCGACACAGGGGACACAGGCAGGGCCAGGGCCCTGAGGAAGGGGAGGGAGGGACCGGGGGAGACCGGACACAAGAAGACGGGAGGCCATACCTCTGAGCCGAAGCAGAGAGGGGTGGCCAAGGCGGTGGTGCCAGAGGAGAGTCTCGTGAGACAGGAGACGACACGAACAGGGGGCAGACTCAGGACCAGACCTGGACGCCGCAGCAAACACCTGACCCGACGTAACTACCCTACCAGACTCAGCAACTGGAGGAGACGCAGTGGTCAGAGTGTACAGGCTCGACCCCGGCTGACGGGTGAACGTAGCCAGGTGTCGGCCTGTGCCAGCCTCTGTACAGTGGGTCACTCGCTGACGTGCAGGAGTGAACTGGTGGACACCCGCATCCTGTAGGTCAGCACCACTCACCAGGTTCGTCGAGAACGAGGGGAGGTAGAGACCAGACAGGGTGCCAGAGGGAGCCGCCGGACACGGGAGGACTGTGGAGAAACGAGACAGGACCGGACCCCCAGAGGGGTCAGCCAGAGACACCGCAACCGGCCGACTAAGCGGCGTGAGTGTGGTGCGGTCCCGAAAGAAGGAGCGAGACGCCCCAGAGTCAAGAGTGAAGGTGAGGGAGGCCGAAGCCGACGCGGTACCTGAGAGAGCAGACTCACCAGTACCTGAGGACGCAGACACACCAGCACCTAGAGCAGCAGCGTCGTAAGCACCTAGGGCAGCAGCCTCACCAGTACCTAGAGCAGCAGTCTCAATGCCCGGATCGGGCTGGAAACACCGGTAACAGTCACCCTCATCACTAATAGACACAGCATACATGGCAGAGAGAATAGCATCAAAGTCCAGATCAAAGATGGCAACCCCCGCCCTAGACAGCTCGTCCCAGCGAGGGATCTCGGAGGCCTCCGGGAACTGGTGACGCCATGCGTCCGTCAGGCGGCCAAAGCAGCGCGGAGTGGGGTGCGCACCCCCACACTGCTCACCCGCACGGTCGCCGGTGCGCAGGACGTAGGTACACGGACCAAAACCCCCACCCCGCTGGCGTGCAGTGTACCACTCACGGAGCTGCTGAGGGGACAGGGTCGCACGACCACGCTGCTGCTGCTGGCGCGAGCCACCACCGGAGCCACTCCTCTGCAAAGACCCGCGACCAGCTCCACCGCCACCCCCACCGCCTCCACCGCCTCCGCTGCCTCCACTGCCGCCGCCGCCTCCACCGCCTCCTCCACCGCCGCCTCCTCCGCCACCTCCGCTACCACTGCCACCGCCACCGCGGCCTCCGCCTCCACTGCCGCCACCGAACCCCCCACCCCCACCTCCACCTCCACCGCTACCCCCACTCCCCCCACTGCCTCCACCTCCACCTCCACCGCCCGCTCCTCCAGCTCCCTTGTCCCCCTTGCCCTTGCCAGGGCGGCGTCTCCCGCTAGGGGCAGACGCCGCACCGACCGACTCAAGACCAAGGAGGTCGGCCGAAGCAGCAGAGGCAACAGAGGGCAGCAGGGGGGAGGGAGAACACCCCTCAAAGATGGGGGTGCGCGGGTCACCTCGAGAGGCTCCTACAGCGACTATGCTCTTTTCTATCGCGAGGAGGGCCTTCTCGAGGAGGTCTACAGTGAGTGTGGTGGAACAGACTGAGAGAAAGTGGTCCCTGACTACTCGAAGGGAGTCAGGGAGGCGATTGACTAGGAAGTACAGAGTGATGTACATGGGGGGGGGGTTCGCGGTGCAGAAGTCAGCAGGAAGTGCAGCGCGGTAGCGAGTGTCACTAGTGCGGAGGTGCGTAATGAGGTCAGCAACGGTGGGAAAAGAAGCAAGGTCAGGGAAGAGGTACGGCAGCATGAGACGGCTCAGTGCAGCAGTGGAAGGGGAGGAGTAGCGCGCGACTACAGCGGCGTACAAGGTCTGAGCACTCTTGTACTGACTAAAGTGCGCACGCTCGGAGGTAGGGAGGTGGCGACGCACAGCAAGACGTGCAGCAGCATCGCGCGTGGCCCACTGGGAGCGAACAGTGGCGTCAGCATCAGCAGCAGGGGCAGGGGAAGCGCCAGAGGTGAGGTCAAAGAGAGAGAGGCCGTCCGCCCTATCGCACTGTAAGAACAGCTGTAGGTCATCTACCCAGACCTCAAAGTCAATGGCCCGACCCTCAGCGTCAAAAGTGAGGACACTAGGGGTAGCCATGACAGCAGTAGACCAGCAGTGCAAGGAGTAGGGGAAGAGCACGCAGTGACAGAGGGTCTGTGCTCACCGGACAGGGCTGCTCGGGCGGCTCGGCTGCAGGGCGGCTCGGCCGCTGGGCGGCTCGGCGGCTGGGCGGCTCGGCGGCTGGGCGGCTCGACAGCTGGGCGGCTCGGCGGCTGGGCGGTCGGCTGCACGGCGGCTCGGCTGGTGGGCGGCCGGGCGGCTCGGCTGCAGCGCGGCTCGGCGGCGGGGCGGCTCGGCTGCTCTGCTGCTGGGCGGCTCGGCTGCGCTGCTGTTGGGCGGCTCGGCTGGGCCGCTGACGTAGGGCGGCTGGGCCGCTGTAGAGGAGTGGCGGGGCCGCTGCAGAAGGACGGCGGGGCCGCTGGGTAGTGAGGCGGCGGGGCCGCGAAGACGGGCGGCGGGGCCGCTGCAGAGAAGCGGCGGGGCCGCAGTGAAGGGCGGCGGGGCCGCAACGAGAGAGGCGGCGGGGCCGCAGCGAGAGAAGCGGCGGGGCCGCGAAGTCGGGCGGCGGGGCCGCTGAGTAGGGCGGCGGGGCCGCAGTGAGAGGCGGCGGGGCCGCAGCGAGAGAGGCGGCGGGGCCGCGAAGACGGGCGGCGGGGCCGCTGAGACGGGTGGCGGGGCCGCAGTGAGTGGCGGCGGGGCCGCAGCGAGAGATGGCGGCGGGGCCGCGAAGACGGGCGGCGGGGCCGCAACGAGAGAGGCGGCGGGGCCGCAGAAAAGGGCGGCGACGGGCCGTAGGCGGCGCGAAGCCGCAGGTAAGGGCGGCGACGGGCCGGGGCGGCTCGAAGCCGCAGGTAGAGGCGGCGCGAAGCCGCGGGAAGGGCGGCGACGGGCCTGGGCGGCGCGAAGCCGCAGGTAGGGGCGGCGCGAAGCCGCCGGTGAGGGCGGCGCAAAGCCGCGGGTAAGGGCGGCGACGGGCCGGGAAAAGGGCGGCGCGCCGCAGCCGCTAGGGCGGCTCGACGCGACCGTAAGGGCGGCGCGACAGGCCGCTAGGTGCGACTCGACGGGCCGCTAAAAAAAAAGGCAGGCGCGACTCGAGGCGCGCTTCGGTGGGCCCAAGGAACAGTCCCTAGGAGGGGACCTGCTCTGATTCCATGAGAGAATGAGAACGAGAATGAATGAACTATGAAATGAAGTGAGTACAAATATGAAACCCTAATTGGTTGTACCCCCTATGGGATACCCCACTATAGCCTACACAACAGCATAAGCTATAATGTTCTGACACGAATGACGTCGACGCTCGACGGAACTACGCTACGAACTACCTGTGTGGTGAGTTACTGATGTGCTGATTTCACTATTTGTGACTACTCTGATTTTTTCTTTTTTGGTCGCTGCAGAGTTGTTTGGCCTGCCATGGCATGCTCTGGGTGAAAATCCCCTAGCTAGCCCAGCCTTTATCACCGCCGCCAGTGCGTGGTACAAGGAACCCCCCGAAGATGTTGCGCTCACGATCGATCAAGTCTGCTACACCCTGTATGCGGTGAGTGGTTTGAACTGTTTATATATTAAATGTAAAGCTCCTTTTTCTGTACTGATCAACTCTTCGTGTTGTCCGCCAGGTTGAGAACAGCATGATCACAAGCATGAATAGTCTGCATTCGGAACAGTCATCAAACAAGCGGGAAATGGACATCAGGAAGGCCCAGATTGAGCGGTGGATTGACAGGGCCAATATTCCTCTTATAGCTGGTCATTATGATTTCGGTGAAGTGTGTGTCCTCAATTGGCGTAGGTAAAATGTACTGCCTTTTTAATTATATTGTGATTTTTTAATCCAGCCTAATTTATTGCATATAGCGATTAGAAATTAGCATTTGAGAAATTGTTTTACGTGCGTGCGTATATCAGTGTACTAAGTTTCGAGTATATCGGATGTATCTATTCCATGCCAATTTGAGTATAACGGATGTATGTATTCCAAATTTGATTCCATATAGTGTCGTATCTTTTGTGACTCTAAAGGGAGTCAACTTTTATCCGTTTTTAGACCCTTGTACAAATAATGAAATGTTACGAAATGACATGTGTAACAACATTCCATCCAAACCCTGCTGACATGGCAACATTTCGCGTGACTCCCAGCAGTCTGCACGTGGTTGGCGAAGCTCCAGCATTCTCGAACACTTCAAGCACACTGTTTCCATGCAATCGCTACCCAGTATTTCGCACCAACATCGAGAACCCAACTGTCAGGCACATTCGAACCTGACTTCCAGATATTGGCGGGAATACTCAGGAAAAGGTGCGATGAGGGAGAAAGGAGGACAGAGATGGGAGTGTGGAGGAATGAGAAGGAAGGAGAAGGGAGGACGGAGATGGGAGTGAGGAGGAATGAGAGGGAGGGAGAAAGGAGGACAGAGATGGGAGTGTGGAGGAATGAGAAGGAAGGAGAAGGGAGGACGGAGATGGGAGTGAGGAGGAATGAGAGGGAGGGAGAAGGGAGGACAGAGATGGGAGTGAGGAGGAATGAGAGGGAGGGAGAAGGGAGGACAGAGATGGGAGTGTGGAGGAATGAGAGGGAGGGAGAAGGGAGGACAGAGATGGGAGTGAGGAGGAATGAGAGGGAGGGAGAAAGGAGGACAGAGATGGGAGTGTGGAGGAATGAGAAGGAAGGAGAAGGGAGGACGGAGATGGGAGTGAGGAGGAATGAGAGGGAGGGAGAAGGGAGGACAGAGATGGGAGTGAGGAGGAATGAGAGGGAGGGAGAAGGGAGGACAGAGATGGGAGTGTGGAGGAATGAGAAGGAAGGAGAAGGGAGGACGGAGATGGGAGTGAGGAGGAATGAGAGGGAGGGAGAAAGGAGGACAGAGATGGGAGTGTGGAGGAATGAGAAGGAAGGAGAAGGGAGGACGGAGATGGGAGTGAGGAGGAATGAGAGGGAGGGAGAAGGGAGGACAGAGATGGGAGTGAGGAGGAATGAGAGGGAGGGAGAAGGGAGAACAGAGATGGGAGTGTGGAGGAATGAGAAGGAAGGAGAAGGGAGGACGGAGATGGGAGTGAGGAGGAATGAGAGGGAGGGAGAAAGGAGGACAGAGATGGGAGTGTGGAGGAATGAGAAGGAAGGAGAAGGGAGGACGGAGATGGGAGTGAGGAGGAATGAGAGGGAGGGAGAAAGGAGGACAGAGATGGGAGTGTGGAGGAATGAGAAGGAAGGAGAAGGGAGGACGGAGATGGGAGTGAGGAGGAATGAGAGGGAGGGAGAAGGGAGGACAGAGATGGGAGTGAGGAGGAATGAGAGGGAGGGAGAAGGGAGGACAGAGATGGGAGTGTGGAGGAATGAGAGGGAGGGAGAAGGGAGGACAGAGATGGGAGTGATCATGCACGCTCTTGATCTTGGCATCTTCATGCATATCATCTCCTGCATCCGAGCCATGCTAAAAAAGAGGAAGGAAACACACGTGCTGAGAGAGCTAGATTCAGCCCTGCAAACGATAGCAAGTGATACTCGAATCAGTGGTTTCCGGCTGCCGGGTGGAGAGAAGGGGGGTTACTTTGCAGGAGCTGCAAAGTTTGCAGGATTACGTAGATCTTGTAAGGCATAAATCCGGTCCCGCATAAATCCGTTGCTTTCCGTCTGCTGTGTAAATCGGTTTCGCCCACAAGACAAACCCCTCATGGTTCTTACGCTCCGAAAATAGCGACTCTATAGCCTTGGAGAGTGATGTTAAATAGAGTATAGCGACGTGGTTACTGTTGTGACTAACATCTACTGACTCCCACTCCTCTATTCCTGTCATTTGCACGAGCAATGTCTTGGCATACTTATCCATGCCTGCTCTGTTTGTGTAGCTTGGCCTCTCCGCTGTAGGCCTGCAAAACAGTGCTAAAATGTTGTTGGTGTCCGTAGCAGACAAACCCATGCCACCGTTGCAATTGTGGACGACCTTCAGAAACGCTTTGTCAATATCAAACGCCGGTACTGCTGCTGGTACCTCAGATGGAAATTCATACCGTGGCAACTCTGGGATCTCATCTGCTTGCTCTGGCTGAGCGCTCCCGGGTGCTGCATCTGTCCTCACCGTGTCTGCTGGCAGTGCTGTTGCTGAGCCTGAGTTCTCCTTGCTCTGATCCGCCTGTCTACGTCTTATATGCTCGATCAAATCTTCCACCTCCTCCCGCTCACGTGGTCGTTTTCTGCAAGCCTTTCTATGGTTCTCATATGCTCTCCCACTTGTGAACGACCTATTACAGCACACGAACAGCATGATGCCTTACAAGATCTACGTCCGCCGCCATGGAAACCAGCAATATAGTAGAGCTGCCAACCCTCAATGCAGGCCTTTCAGGCCTCCTATGAAATCTCCAGATTCGGAGGCTAATGTCACCGCTAACGCCACCAGCTCTCTCGCCTCTCGTTGCAGGCAAAACTGCAGCTCAATGAAGCACAGGTTCAATCTGAGAATTGAAATAGATTTGGAAACTAACTTCGCCAGGAGATTAAGATAAATTATAAGTCCAACAAGCTCCACACGATCACCAAGCTGAGAATATGTGTCCCACGAAACGGTCTGCACGAAAGCTTGAAGAGCGCTGTGAAATATGTGTAGTTGCATCTATAATTTTACAAAGCATTCGGATACAAAACTGTTTTTTAGTTGGCCATGCCATGGAAAAAACGTCTCGTTGTATCTGATCGCTAGGCACCAGAGGCAGATCGGGTGATCTAACTGGCGCCATTACGATGCCAATGAACTCTGAAACGGGCGGTAAATATGGCTGTTGAAGGAAACTAAGTGCAGCGTAACGTTAACAATCACAAATTTTACTACAGTCAGGGCCGTTGGAGGATGAGCCTTTGGAAGAAGGTGAGCAAGCAGGTGGTGTTTGTCCCTACACACAATGTTGACCAGGTCGCAAGGGTTGGGAATGCAACTGTGGACGAATCACGTTTGTGCTCTGCACCAACGACGGTGTCGCGCGAAATATCGTACAGTACAATGCGACATGTTATGCGAAAATCGCATGATGCGACACCAGGAAAGGCGAAATTCGCAGGCAGGGAAAAAACCGCAGGTCGCGACAGCTGGCAGGACGAAAATCCACGTACAGACCAATCGTAGCCCTTACCGAACCCCAGGTTTGTCGCCAACGAATGTTGACTGGCAAGGAACCCAGTTTCCGTCATAAGGGTGTGCCAGGTTGGAATATTGCAACTGTAAACATTGTGGCATGTTTCTCCCTATACATGCTGTTTCTAATTAATAAATCACTGAGCACTATGATAAAATAACCAGACGTAAACATGCTAGGCATTATTTATTTATTTTTTACTTGAAAACTGTAACAATAAAACATTTCGTCATTCACAAATTCCGTAATTGCAGGCACTGATGAATTTTCTATGACCTTTGATGTTATACTTAAATTACTACTTTCGTAACTGAGCAATGACTTTTTGTACCATCTATCGAGACCTTAACTCTATACGCGGGATATTTGATTTCGCCAATGTGGCACCAGCTGCCCGCTTCTGAGATTGTTGTTGACCATAGGCAGGCAGATTTCGTGTGCTGCCCGCACGCAATTTCGTAGCCAATACAACTCGCCGGAAGCATGCGCGCCAATTCCCAGATCCGTGCTCACGCAACATTCCGGAAGCCATCATCAGCGAAATCACTACTCGCAACCTGCGAGGCAACAAATGTAAATGTGCGATGCGTTGATGAGCTGCTCGCGCTGAAGACCGGCCGAACGCTAAAGACGGAGGTGTTTCTCCTGGATGACTCGTTCGAGGAGGTCGGGTACGACGCGTCAACAACTGCCGCGCAGATTCTGGAGGTAAGTTGTGATGTGAACGGAACTGGAGCACACTTTTTGCCCTCTGATTATTTAGATGCTTCTATCACTATTGCTGTGCTTGTGCAGAGTGTGGCGGGCAGTATCCATTTGGAGAGGTTTGAGACGTTTGGGTTGTACGAGCGCAGGAAGTACATAACGCTCGCCAACAACAATGCGGAAAACTTCTCCAGTGAGTCTCAAGCTCACTGGGCGATCCATGCAACATATCAACATGGTTTTCCTGAAATTATCATTTATGCTGGCATCAAACGCATGGTCGGTACAACAGACTAGTCCGTCAGTCCATGGTTTATTTCTCTCCGTTTCCTTTGCTGCGCAGATGAGTACGTGCGCATTGACAAAAATGCTTATATGGGGGACGTGATGGCGGGAATGATGAGCTTCAGGGAGAGGAGCGAGCCGCAGGTGGAGCAGTGCCTCCTCTTCCGCAAAATGATCTTCCGGAAAAACGATGAGGCGATCACGGATCAGGTGTTCGTCCACCTATGTTATCTGCAAGTGAAGAAAGATTATGATGAGGGGAACTACCCCGCGGCGCTGAGGGATGAGGTGGCACAGCTGGCGGCGCTACAGTTGATCATAGACTTCGGCTCGCTGCCCGAGCCTGAGGTCACCCTGTGAGTTTATTTGCATGGGAGGGCTGCGTTGGAAATGTTTCTGTTGTGCTGATGAGGTTTCTCGCTTGAGGGCTTGTTTTTCGCTTGAGGGCTCCTATTAAAAGTAGTCAGTCTTTTCTGCTCATGTGCCTCCCTCACTTCCATCCACCCTCATCCCTCATTCGCTTCCACCCTCCCTCCCCCCTTCCTCCCTCCCTCCTTCCGATCCTCATTTCACTCGCTTCCTGTTAGAAAGAAGAAGTCGTTGAACTAGAAAGGAAAGGGAGTACAAGTACCTAACCCTAGAATTGTGTACCCCCTAAAGGCTAACCCACTGTAGCCTACACAAATACAACATATATAATGTTTGACACACACCCATAGGCTAAGTGGGGGAGAGCTAGTGGTCACAAGACCAGTCAAAGCAAAACAAAGCAAGACAAGCTCAGGGTGGATCTCAAGGATACCACACAAATTCCGAGCACAAGCAAATGGTCACAAGACCAGTTCACATGCAGTTTGATAATAGAACAAGAGGTACAGTGATCACAACCTAGCAAGTGTAAGCATGCAGGTATATATATAGAGACCATAGTACAAGCAGAGTCAAGAAGTGAGCAAGTGAGGGAGAGTAGGCACAAGGCCTAGAACAGTACAGAAACGCTGATGATCACAAGGCTGAAGCGCCTTGGTGAACACATCAGCAGTGTTGGCCCGAGTGGCCACGTACGAGAGACGAAGCTGACCCCTCTGCTGCAGCTCTCGCGCTAGGAAGTAGCGCAGAGCGATGTGCTTCGTTCTGTGCTCCAGTCTGTGCTCCTCACACAAGGCAATGGCTGCCTTGTTGTCGGCGTACAGCACTGGAGGAGAACGAGGCCGCTCTCCGAGGTCGGTCAACAGGTAGGTGAGCCAGCGTAGCTCCTGGGCCGCCATGGCTGTGGCGTAGATCTCAGCCTCACAACTGGAGCTGAGAACAGAAGAAGAGCGTGTAGAACGCCAGGAAACAGAGCCAGAGCCAAGGCTGAAGGTGTAACCCTGAGACGACCGCTGCGTAGCCTGGTCGTCAGCCCAAGAAGCGTCTGAGTGTCCAGTGAGGACAACGTCGTGCCGTCCTCCAAGCACAAGCCCCATGCCCGACGTACTGCACAGGTAACGCAACACCCTCTTAGCGACATCCATGTGCTCCTTCCGGTGACGGCCAGGAGCGACATAGCGTGCTAGGATGCTAAGAGGGTATGCAAGGTCAGGTCTAGTGCAGGTCATCAAGTACATGAGGCAGCCCACAAGCTCTGGATACGGGCCACTCGGCTCTACGGACTCATCCGAAGGCAGAGCTGAGAGCGAGTGACCGGTAGGCAGAGGAGTGGGCTGAGGCGAGGAGTACGTGAAGCCGAAGCGCTGAAGGACCTGCTGCACCATGTGTGACTGAGTCAAGGTGATGGTGCGCTGTGCTCTGTCCCGGGTGATCCGCAAGCCAAGATAGCTTGTCAGTTCACCCAGGTCAGTGCACGTGTGTCTCTTCTGCAGCTCCGACTTCACGTGGGCGAGTGCCTCAGTGTCAGCAGTAGCAAAGACCAAGTTGTCGACGTACACGAGAACGTAGAACGGCGGCAGAGTGGTGTCGGTGCGTAGAAACAGCGACGGGTCAGCAGTAGAAGGAGCAAACCCAAGAGCCGCAAGCGTAGTCCTCAGTGTGTCGTGCCACTCACGGGGTGCCTGGCGGAGACCGTAGACTGGCCGCCGGAGGCTCCACTGGGTACCAGGAGGGAACGACCCAGTGAAGCCAGGTGGGCGGCGCAGCCAGATCTCCTCGTGCAGGCTGCCCTGTAGGAACGCAGTGCTGAAGTCAAGAGAGTGGAGCTCGTAGTCACGCTGAGCGGCGACGTGTAGCAGAACCCGAAGAGTGGTCATCTTCGGGGTCGGGGAGAAGGTATGGAAGAAGTCAACTCCCTCTTGCTGACTGAAGCCTCGTGCAACG